TACAAAATGTGATCATCAACACTCATTGTGAATACTTTGTATACCTCTTTCAGTTAAGCCATTTACCTCTTTGCTTTACCAGTTTTATACTAATGATACTAACAGCTGAAACACAGGATAATGAAAAGATGGTGATTTGTAAAAATACTGTATAATGAGATGATAATTGCAAATGAGCTGTGATACAATAATTAATAAAATTTATACAATGTGATAACCTTTTGTGTGCACAATTTAACAATATTTTGAAAGAGAGAGTGAGAGAGTTGATTGTAAGATTGAATGTTCAAATTGGCGGTTTGTTCATTTTTTTAAAACTGCAAAGCCTCGGGAAAACCTAGCCTTGATGATTTTATTTATTTGTTTTGGATCACCAGACTCCCCAAAGATGTTCGTAATTATCAAACTGGCCAGTTTACAATTTAATCAAACAGGGACTATTATGTAGGTTTGTGATCTACATCACTCCTTGCTGATCAGTGCAACGGGGCCAATCGACTGCTGAGTCGATTATTTGATAATTTTTATTTAGTATTTAATATTTATGAATTTAATGGGAGTCTATCCTCATGACCCTTTATCAACCCTAGCCTTCGACCGAGCACTCTGTTACCCCCATTTACGTTACACAATCAAACTCTCACTATTTAAAAATGTAATACTGTTCAAAAATTATTCTACACATGAAATACAAACGTTTTAAATAATAATACTGATGATGATAGAATCTGACTTTACATAGAATACAAAAATAATAATATCACAGATAAACATTGCTCTTTAAATTAATATACCATTTCAGTTCAATTTAATAAATAATTTTCATTTGATTAGGTTCACTATTGTAACTTAAATTCTTTGTATGACATGACCAAATTTAATAAAACATTTTATCCTGAATCGTGACCATGTGCTCTAAGTAGACCAAATGAAACATGAAAATCTCAGACCAAACTAAACATGATTCATAACTTGTAAAACGAGTGGTACATGTGAAAAAATGTGGCAGATTGGCAAGACTATTTTAATACTAAAACACAAATAACACAAACATTTACTTACGTACACATGTCGACACATTAACATTCATTCCGACGAAGATTCACGCGTACCGAACATTTAAAAACTGACTCGTGGTAATTTTGACTTTTTGTCTGACCGAGCGGAACATCACGACACGGTTTTTTCTGGTGTAGGACTTATTAATTCTTGTTTTTTCGAGCTGGCGTTTAATGATTCAATTGAAAATACCTTCACGACGACCCGCGATTCGCTAGAAACTGACATTTGCTATCGATATGATGCATGTACGAATTTTCATCACGAACGCGAACAATCAATCCGGCATCTCAACTGTCTCGACTAAATACTAATAAAACACACCCCCAATTGCAATTCGGCGAAATTTTGACAATTGCGATCGTTTGATGCACGTACAATTTCCGCCCGAACGCTAATTTCCGAGCTACGAATTAAGATATTAATAAATTCGTCCTACACCAGCGACAAAACGCGACTTCACATGTTGACTGTGCGAGTACTTGACCACGAGTGACGAGACGACGAGACGCTTTGCAGACGACGCGGTTCCCAACGGTCTTCGTATCCTTCCGCGTTACGTCATGTTTGACTGACTTGTCCATTGCCTGTCGCGGATTTTAAATCTTTGAATTTAAAATCGGCACACAAATCTAATTAAACGATCCCAATACAAAAGAATTAGTGTTTTTATGTAGTGACTTCCAGAGCACATTTAACTGCTATTTACTTCTTTAGTTCGATGGTTCTCCACGTGTTTTTTTCGTTCTGGCTGTCTCTTTACGCAGAGTTAGTGACTTTTTACCTTTTCTTTTTATTTTTGTTGTTTTCACACCCTGGGAATTATGACAAAGTTTTATAACGCTGTAATGACCCGAGTCAACATCTATATATTTAATACGCAGTTGTAACACTGTTTGCTCAGTAATTACTGGACCGATCCACAACTACCCTGTGTACTCGAAACAAATGTTTGGGTATAGTTCACTGATAAATTGTAGTTTTACGTATCCAGAGTACTCGCCATCTTGAAAGGGAAATTTTGGTACTGCTAAACGTCTAACTTGAGTAAGATTCATCACCTACCATAAAATGTTTTTACGTTTCCCACTCATTAGCAATTATCTGTACAACTTGCAAGCGGATTTCCCTATGATTGTTTGGTGGCCGTAGAGAATAAATTATTTTGATCGAAACAATAAGTTTTAGTCCCCTACTATGTGTATTATTTTACATTCCATACTCAAACTTAAACTCATCAATTATCACTTTCCTTCAGATCACTTTGCAGGATAACTAACACATTATTCGAAAATAAAAAATTCATTCCAAAACATAGGCTACAAATAATGTTCAAAATCAAATACATTTATAAATAACACATTGTGGTATAAAAAGTTAACAAATAAACTTTTCCTTGTACAAAATCGGGTGTTTTTTACAGGAACACCTAGATTAATAACTACACATTATATATTAACATTAGAATACCTCAAAGTTGATGTGATGGACTTAGGAAAAAGATTGTGCACTTTTTCCTGATGCGAGTTCCTATCAACCATATACATTTTGCCATATAACTTGGTAATTAAGGGGACTGCCTCAATCATATTTATACTGACTATTCTACACATTGTATATTACCATTAGAATAGCTCAAAGTTGATGTGATGGGCTTGGGAAAAAAGATTATGCACTTTTTATGTTCGGAGTTTTAATTGTTCGCGTTATGTTAAGCCTTAGCTACGTATAATGTACAGTACGGTCTCAAATATGCCTTTTAAAATACGTCAATTAATTAGTTTTAACTTGTATACACTTTTTATCAATGTATTATTGACATTATATAAATATAAAAACATCATTTCGCATCGTATTGTCATTGATTTGTGTTTCCGACATCCCTGCAAAACACGTTTGTGGCGTCCGCAGGCGTACCAACCCACATCTATTACAAACAGAAACTTTTCCTGACGCAAATTCCTATAAACCATATAGATTTTGCCTTATAGCTTCGTAATTCACTGGACTGCCGCAATCATATTTACCCTGAGTATTCTAAACATTGTATATTACCATTAGAATACCTCAAAGTTGATGTGATGGGCTCAGGAAAAAGATTGTGCACTTTTCCTGATGCGAGTTCCTATCAACCATATACATTTTGCCATATAACTTCGTAATTCACTAGACTGCCGCAATCATACTCATACTGATTATTCTACACATTGTATATTACCATTATAATACCTCAAAGTTGATGTGATGGGCTTAGGAAAAAGATTGTGCACTTTTCCTGATGCGAGTTCCTATCAACCATATACACTTTGCCTTATAGCTTCGTAAATCACTGGACTGCCTCAATCATATTTACACTGAGTATTCTACACATTGTATATTACCATTAAAATACCTCAAAGTTGATGTGATGGGCTGAGGAAAAAGATTGTGCACTTTTCCTGATGCGAGTTCCTATCAACCATATACATTTTGCCATATAACTTCGTAATTTACTGGACTGCCGCAATCATACTCATACTGATTATTCTACACATTGTATATTACCATTAGAATACCTCAAAGTTGATGTGATGGGCTTAGGAAAAAGATTGTGCACTTTTCCTGATGCGATCTTCTATCAACCATATACATTTTGCCATATAACTTCGTAATTTACTGTACTGCCGCAATCATACTCATACTGATTATTCTACACATTGTATATTACCATTAGAATACCTCAAAGTTGATGTGATGGGCTTAGGAAAAAGATTGTGCACTTTTTCCTGATACGAGTTACTATCAACCATATAAATTTTGCCTATAGCTTCGTAATTCACTGGACTGCCTCAATCATATTTAAGGACTGTTCACACCGGCGTAGCCAGACGTATTAATACTTTTTCGGAATACGTAGCTGACGTAGCTCTTAATGTAATTCATAGAGAGTGTTCACACCGGCGTATTAATACGTGAGCTACGGAAGCTACGGCGCTGCCGCTACGCCGGCTAGCTACGCGTAGCTCGCATAGCCGAATACGCGCATGCGCACTAGCACACCGGGCTGTGACCGCCACCCTCCTTCCACCTTATAATTAATTTATTAAGCGGTAAATGTTGGATTATAATACAAAAATTAAGAATCACTTTAACAAATCATTAAATCACTATAACATAACAACCTTAAGAAAAATTTATATGATCAATACTTCATCATACGAGTACCTAATGTTCACTAACATTTTGCTTGTAAATCTCCTTATCAAAAAAGTCGTCTCTCTTAATATGGTTTATTATGGTTCATATTGTGGGCTGATATTTATGAAACATTAATGAATTATTTTTAGACATAGGCCTACGTCTTACTTACACCATAGAATATTTTATCATGTAATCCATGGATGAGCAAAATTATTGCATGTTTTCTGATAATATTTATTTTATATTATAATATAGCACAAGTCTTATAGTCTACTATATACGGCCTAAAATTAGAGTGAAACATTTTTGTCAACATTAACTCATTAATCAACAGACTTTTCAGGGTACTATAAAAGCTGCAATTGAACCGTGACAATCTTAACTGAAATCCATAAAACGCTAATAAAAATAAACAATAAAATTACCAAATATAAAATAATATAATAAAATAAACAAACAACAGCCGGCTCACCGGCTACGTAGCCGTCAGACGTAGCTGCGGTGTGAACAGTGCACGGGCAACGTATTAATACACCGAATACGTCTGCAGACGTCGGGCTACGCCGGTGTGAACAGGCCTTTATACTGAGTATTCTACACATTGTATATTACCATTAGAATAGCTCAAAGTTGATGTGATGGGCTTGGGAAAAATGATTATGCACTTTTTATGTTCGGAGTTTTAATTGATCGCGTTATGTTAAGCCATAGCTGCTACGTATAACTCAAATATGCCTTTTAAAATACCATTTACCATTTACCATTTACCATCGAAGTCTTCGCCGCAGTCCTTGGAGACCGGGGAATTGTCAATTTTTTTCTCATCTTTCTTCTTGCTAGCTTCTTGATTGTGTGTAGTGTTGTAGTGTGGTTGAATGTGTGATTTGTATGATGAGTGTTATTTTGTAGGAAATTTATGTTCTTCTAGATATTCTGTAATTGTGTAATAAGGTCGATTTAAGAGGTATTGTTTCAGCTGTTTTTTGAAGTTAGAGAGCAAGTTTATGTCTTTAAGTTTGTTGGGTAAGATGTTGTATAGTTTTATTCCCATGTAATTTGGTGTTTTGCTGGTTTTCGTTAGTCTGTGTTGGTTTAGATTAAAGTTTGATTTTACTCTGAGGTTGTGTTCGTGACAGTTTATTCTGAGTTGAGGTGGGTTTGATTTGATAAAAAGGATGGTTTCGTAAAGATATAAGGATGTTAAGGTGAGGATCTGGTTTTTGACAAAGAGAGGTTTTCAGTGTTCTTCCCGATCAACTTGTTCCAGGATTCTGATGGCTTTTTTCTGTTGTACTAGTATTTTTTTCAGGTCGGTTTCATTGGCAGAGCCCCATGCAATTATGCCATATCTAATGTGTGAGGAGAAGAGAGCGTGGTATGCCGTTTTGCAGATCTCTTTGTTTGTGATCTTCCTGTTTCTCCTTAGAGCATATACAACTTGGGATAGTTTACTGTCCAGATTTTCAATATGGTCATGCCATGTTAATCGGTTGTCCAGTGTGATTCCGAGAAATTTAGCGTTTCGTTTTTCATTTCCTTCCTGTATCTGGCTGTTAGAAGTGAAGTTTAAAACTGTTGTTTTTTGTTGATTTATTTTTAGGTCTAATGAGTTGCAGGTGGCTATTGAAGTTTGAAGTGTTTCTTCTATTTTTTCCTTTTGGGTGTTGGAGTTTGTTGGTGTAATTATGGTAGTGTCGTCCGCAAACATTATGCAGGAGCTATCACTAGATAGGTCATTCGGAAAAGAATTTATGTATATTAAGAAGAGGATCGGGCCAAGTATTGATCCTTGCGGTATTCCTTGATAGGTTTCTCGAAGTTCAGATCTGTATTTGATTTCATAGTTTTTTTTAGTGTATTCTAGTTCTACAAGTTGTTGTCGGTCTGTCATGTAATTTTGGAGCCAGATTAAAGCATTATGGGTGATATTTAGTTCTTGAAGTTTCTCAACTAGTATTTCTCTATTCAAGCTATCGAAGGCTTTTTCTATGTCTAGAAAAATGCTTGTTGCTTGGAGTTTTTTTTCCCAGATTGATGTTATGTCCTCGCATAGGTTTGCAAGGGCTGTATTTGTTGATCTGCCATGTCTGAAGCCGTGCTGTGATTGGGTGAACTTTCCTTTGTCCTCCAGGTATGTGATGAGCTGATTATGTATTGCCTTTTCTATATATTTTGAGAGCGTGGGTAGGATAGATATTGGCCGGTAATTTGAGATGCAGGTTTTCTCACCCTTCTTAAATTTGGGATAAACTAAGGCAATTTTTGCTGATTTGGGGACTTTAGATTGTTCTATAGATGTATTGATGATATGTAAGAGTGGTGTGATTATTTCCCTTTTACAGTGTTTGATCATTTTGTTAGATATTTGATCTAGTCCAGAAGAGTTTTTAGGCGGTAGATTGTCAAATATTCGTTCAAGTTCCTTTTTGGTTATCTTGTTAAAGTTTGCTAGTGAGTCGGCTCTGGGTTGTTGTGGCAGATTGGGTTTGGATTTCGGTTTTGGGGTGGTTGAGGTCCTATTGTGCAGAGTTTGGCGTGGTTTTCCGAGGGTAATAAAGTGGTCGTTTAAAAGGTTACAGATGTGGGTTGGGTCGGTAGTCAGTTTTTCATTGCTGATAAGATTTATTTCCTCTTTAATTTTCCTGTCCGCATTTCTTTCTTTATTTATGGTGCTCCAGAGTTCTTTGTTTTTGTTGGGCGCATTTTTTATTTTCTGGACAACAGCATTTGATTTTTGGATTTTGACTTCTAAGTCATATGCTCTTTTCATTTTAACGTACGAGAGTTTGTCCTCAACCCTGTTTGAGAGTAAGTATTTATGTTCTGCTAGTTGGAGTAAGTTTTTCAGTCTAGTAAGTTTATCATTCCAGAATATCTTTTTTTTCTTGCTACGGTGAAAAGTTTTGTACTGTTTAGGCATAATTTCTTCGATTTTGTATTGTAAAATTCTTATAAAGGCATCATACTTTTCATCCACAATTTGTTTAGAAAAGACAGTAGACCAATCTTGATTTTTGAGGGATGCTCTGAGTTCGTCTAGATTTGCTGGAGATGTTATTCTAATTTGTCTTTTTATGGGTGCTATAGGTTTTTTGTGTCCTATCTTTAGTTGGCAGGTAATTGCTTGATGGTCAGATATTGAGTTACTATGGGTTTTTACTTCAAGGTCCTCCTTGTTTATGTTAGTACAGCAAAGGTCTATACAAGTTTTTGATGTGGTTGTTATTCTGGTTGGAGGTAGTTCCGATGGTTTCAGGTTATGTTCCGCTAATATATTTAAAAGAGTTTTTGTTTCAGTTTCGTTATCTTTAAATAGGTCTATGTTTAAATCACCCATCACTATTATCTTTCTGTTCTTGTGAGATATTGTGGAAAGTAAGTTTGAGAAATTTTCAAAAAAAGTGTTCAGGTTCAGGGATCTATATCCACCAATAATTACAGTCTTGAAGTCGGGTAGTTCAATTCCTACAAGTTCTGAAGATTGTTCTTCACAGAAGGTGAGCGTATTGATTTCTCGGATTTTTAGGATGTCGACATTGTTTTCCTTGCAAAAAATTGCTATTCCTCCCCATCTATGTGTTATTCTTGAGAATTCTGTTATTAAAATGTAATTTGGAATGTTTGTTATTTTTAGGTTTTCTTTTTTTTCACCATGTTCTGAAATTATTAGAATGTCTGGATCGAGGTTTTGAATTTCTAGTTGTAGCCTGTCTATTTTACTCTGTAGCCCTCTCTGGATGTTTAGGTGATAAATTTTTAAGGTAGGCCTATCAGTCCTATCTGTCTTTTTTTGCGGTTTTGAGTTGGAGTTATTGGTAGTTTTGTTCCTGATGAGTGTAGGTGGTGATTTTAGGTGAGCTATGGTTCTAGGGGTATTTGTAGAGTGGTCTCGTTTGGGTGTTGGGAGTCTTCCTTTGCAGTTTGATTTTTTGGTGTCTCGGTTTGTTGGTTATGTAGCGAATGGTGTGCTGCTGTTTCAGTAAGAGTCACATCTTCCTTAGGTGTCATAATTTGATGGATGTCATTAGGCTTAGGGGTTTCTGTTTGTCTGGTTAAGCCTCCCTCCGTAGTGTTGTCCCTTTCTGGAATTTTTTTGTCCTCTTTCCTGGTGTAGTTCCTCTGAGTAGGCCTATTTTCTTTCTGGTTGTTCTCTGATAGAGTTGGCAGGCCTAGAATGTTGTTCAGGTGTGCGGTCAGCACTTTGTTTCCTTCGGTATTCGGGTGGATACCGTCGCTTGCATATAGGTTTTGGTTAAAAGTTGTAGTAATATCTATAAAATTAATATTTAGTTCGTCACACATGAATTTTAAAGCTTCATTCATCTCTTCGATGTAGGTTTTTGGTGCGTCCTGTCTATGTAGTAAGCTGTGAACATACCATTGGGTGTTTTGGTGTTTTTTTTGCATGTGATAGCAGGTTTTACAAATCCATGTCAGTGGAAATTCATTTTTTTCCAGAGCTTTGTATTGTTTGGTTGATATTAGAGCACATTTGGTATGGTACCAGTCATTACAATCGCAGGCAACTGCCTTGTCATTATCATGTACTGTTTGGTCGCAAACTTTGCAGTATGTTGCGTTAACCGTGTCATTGGTTTCAGACTGTGAGTCAGCTTTGGTCATTTTGCTTAGGCTATTTTTTTTTTTTTTTTTTTTTGTGGGGGGGGAGGGTTGAGGGGTTTGGAAGGGGTGAGAATAGGATAAGTTCCCTAACTTTGGTGTTTTATTCTCCTATCCAACCTAGGCCTAGTTTTGTTTTGACACTTGAGAGATTGGTAGGGATATGGATAAGGATAAGGCACCCTATTTTTTGGTTTTGTTCCCTTTTTTGCTTGTCTAGCCTAGTTTTGGTTTTCTTTGGGTTTGTTTGTTTGGCCTATCTAAGATTTGTCAACTGTTTTGTCCTAACTAGTGCCTGTTGAGTGTTAAAAATGTTGTTCAGTGTTTAAGAATATTGCTAAGATAAAAAGCTAATTTAAAGTATAAAGAAAACAGAGGTCCTACCTTTGGATGTCTTCAATAGTGTAAATGTAATGCTTACGAAAGTGTAAGATAGGGTTGGCGAGTCCGTTGTTTCAGTTTCAGTCTTCACTCTTCAGTTCGGTTGGTGTAACTTGGTTTCCTGGTTAACGAAGAGTTCCCGGGTTCGCCATCTTGGATTTTGCACTTGCACTTTACTTTACGGGTTTTCACTTTACGTCAATAATTACGTCAATTAATTAGTTTTAACTTGTGTACACGTTTTATCAATGTATAATTGACATTATATAAATATAAAAACATCATTTCGCACCGTATTGTCATTGAATTGTGTTTCCGACATCCCTGCAAAACACGTTTTTGGCGTCCGCAGGAGTACCAACCCACATCTATTACAAACCGAAAAAGCGCCGATGAAAAGAGCCGCTAACTTCACGACGGTTGTTAAGTTAAGCTTGTTAAGTCCTGTAAGTCAGGTCACTAAAAATGCTTATTAAAAGGCTAGTTTTTATTTAAAAATGTGGATAAATTGACTAAATTGAGTGTAAAAGACAAACGAAGAACGAGTGTCAATAAATTGAACTTAGGCCTATCCACCAACCTCTAAGTAGTTTATTCTCTATCTCTTGGAATACGATTTAGCCTACGAACAACTTTACGTGGCAGAAAGTACTGTTCTACTGTTGTAATCCGTCTGATTTCTCGTCGATTTCTGTTTCTGATGAACGATGGATGAGACAATCCTGACCTGATCCAACAAGTTGAAGTTATTATAATCTAAGTTATTATAATCGACGATCCAATTGTTTTATTGTGGAGACCTAGGAGATCCAGAGGCTATTTCTCCAAACAAAAAAAAAAGTTGAAGTTAGTGATAGTGAAGTCGAAAGACCGAACACGATCGTAGACCAGACCGAACGGCGAACACCGAAGTCAAGTCAAGGCCGCTGGCCGAGGGCCAAGTCCCACCCGGTGGCCGGTGCCAGTGGTCAGCCAACCCAAGATAAGGATAAGATTAAGATAAGAAAATATTGAATGCTGTTATTTTATTCTTATTGCTATAGCTATTGCTTACACTTTCACTTTTCACTTTGAAGTGCGGTGCCAGCCAGCAGAGGTGAAATCAAGTTCAAAGTTCCAAGTCCAACTTCGTATCGCGTTCACGGACGTATATCATATCTTATCACAATCAAGCAGATAGCCAAACCTCTTGCCTTTTTAGTAAATAGCTGCTTATCTGAAGGAGAAGGAGTTTTGCCGGAAAATGGCAAAATAGCTAAAACCACTCCTATTTTCAAAAAAAGGCGATCCAGCGCAACCTGCAATCTTCAGACCAATTTCTATCCTCCCTGTTTTCTCCAAAGTTTTTTGAGGCGGTCATGAAGCAACAACTGGTAGACTTTTTTGAAAAGAATAACCTTTTCAGTGACTCACAGCACGGATTTAGGACTGGGCGTTCCACTACCTCCACCCTCTTCAGCCTGATTAAGGACATCTCTGCGGCCTTTGAAGCTAACGACTCCATACATCTCAGACTTTGCGACCTCAGCAAGGCTTTTGACGTAGTCTCCCATGACTTACTCCTAGTCAAGCTATCTAAGTATGGCATCGCTGGAACGGCCCATAGAACTTATGCCGATTACCTTCACAACAGGAGACAACTTGTGTCAATACAAGGAGCCTCCTCTCAAATCAAAGAGCTACACCATGGTGTTCCCCAAGGACCTATCCTGGTGTTCTAGGACCCGTCCTGTTCGTCATCATGATAAAATGATAAATGACCTATCTTTCAACAGACGCACACTTCTTTTTGCAGACGACACTACGTTGTTAACGAGACACACCAACCTAACTGATCTGAAGGCTGACGCATCCTACTTGCTTGGTGAAACCAAGGAGTGTCCCACTGCCGACTCAGTCACACTCTGAACTCCTACCCATCGCTTGCTATTCGGCTTTTTAATACGCTGCCGAAAGGATTTCGTGCTCTTGACAAAAAGCGATTTAAGTCAACGCTACGCCAGAGTTTGCTCAGTATACCGTTATACTCATGGCAAGAAATGTTTGATGAGCCTCTAGTGTTTGTCAATAATACCACCATAGTTGCTTAATTGTATGTATATATGTATAGTGTTTTTAATATTTTTAATGTAAATAAGACCCAATCAATCCAACTTTGTTGGTCAAAGATGAAGTAACCAAGTATCAAGTAAGTAAGTTTTATCTATGGTAATGGAACTAGAAAGTGTGAACGTCATGAAATCGTAACACCGAGTCTACATCAAGAAGCGTCCCGTAAGCCTTGCGGGAACTCGACCCGCTTTGACAGGATACTTTCATGATCATGATCCATTCTCTTCAAATTCGAACAGTCAAAGAAGAAATTACAAAATCTAGTGAAAAATACATTATAAAATTGGAAAATCATTCAAATCATCTTGCACTTAATTTATTGGACAATCACAACACCATTTACAGACTGAAGCGACATACGATATTGGACCTACCATTCAGATTCGGCTAAGTGTTATCAATATCATAGATAAAACATTCAATATTCTCTTTGTTAGCTAGTTTTGTCAGTGGTAATACACAATAGCTCATGTTCTTCCAGTTATTTTTGTGTATGTTTTATCTAAGGGAGTATGTTTTATCTATGGTATTACTATTTATATAATTTGCTTATTGTTCAACTTGAACAGATTGTAAATTAAATACAAACAAAATACAAAATTAAAATACAAGAAAAAAATTATCCATTCCAGCGAGTAAGGGCGTGGTAAGGGGCATTGGGTAGGGTATTCCTTGCTCGTTGTTCCATTCCTATTCTTTTGAAATTCGAATTCAGACGGATTCTCCCTCCCCTCCCCTGTTCCCTCCGCTTTTTCCGCTGCTCAGCTCCATTATCCTTCTTCCGATCTTCATCTTCCCTTATAAAAAGTTAAACAGTTAAAGCAATGTTTTGTTTTATCTATGGTTAAAGTTATTGTGTATGTAGATTTGTTACTGTTGACTGTGTTGTGTTCGTTTTTAACTGAGTCATTTTGTTCAATGAAGAATCGAAGAGTGTTGCTTTGTTCTTAACCTTAAAATTAGATTTTTATCCTCATTACCTAGCTTCTTTTGTAGTGCCTGTTAAGTGTTCAGTAATTTTCTGAGGTACGGTAACTTAAAAGTCTACATTTAAGTTATTGGCCTACGCTGTTTTGTTGATTCTTTTTTTAATTACTTATACTTGATGATGTCCCACTAGCATCGCTCCTGCGTGGTGTCAAAATGGGTAGAAAACACAATAACTTAATAGGCCTAATTGAACAGATCTCCTACTTAAAAATAGGCCCCTTTCACATAAATTAGACTTTGTGGTCTAAAAAGAGACACATTGAGGCTATGCATATGTCATATGCCTGGTCATTTTCATTGTTTTTTTTAGCATTGTGTAATATAAAATAATAGTGGTTTATTTACCTTTACTTTAGTCCCAGTTCAATAAAAGTTGTAGTATCTACAACCATGGTTTCGACGCTAGTTGCATCTTGGTCACGTACTATGGCACGTCATGGCAACTAGCGTCGAAACCATGGTTGTAGAAACTACAACTTTTATTGAACTGGGACGAAAGTAACTTTGGTAAAGGTAAATAAACCACTAATGTAAGTTATTATTTTATATTTGTCTTACCAGTTCAGGGGCAAGCCACAACAATGAGTAAATTGTGTAATATGCCTTTTTAAAACAATTATTTCATACTAGTTAAGTTAATCAAACCTACTACACATATGTGTCAAGTGTTTCTATTAGGCCTATGCAGTAGGCTATTTCTATAATATAGAACCTTTCAAGGCCTACATTTATAAGACATAAGGTTCAATTTATTGATCTTTGGGCAATTTCTAGGCCTACATGCAATCGATCAATTATATAAGTTACCAGCCTATATAAGTTAATTGATATTTTTAACTAGGTAGCCTACCTATATTAATTATAAAATAAAACAGTTAGGCCTATATAAGTTAAAATAACTAAACTTGATAGGCGCCTGTGAAAAAATTGAATGAAGAATAGGCCTATTATTGAGTTAATCCAATCCCAGCCCAGTTTAAAAACTGTAGCCTACCTGGCATTACACACAAAGCTACAAATAACTTAAGTTACCTTTGATCGTTTGTAATAAGTTACTAGGCTACTGTATTTGTGCCATTGCGTTTATTTTAACTTAACTTACTTTCTACGTCTGTGGCATTTTTCAAAGGAGTAGGGCCTTCAAGAATCGGAGGAGCTCAAAACACTTTTTGAGAAAGCCAAATGTTTTGTAGGTGTGCTGGGAATCAAATCTGTCCCTCACACCAAAGTTCAATCGACATCTTGTATCATGAATAACTTATATAATATAAGGGCCTGACACACACACACACACACATATAGGCTATATATACTAGCTATTACCCATGGGTTTCACCCCGTTTGACTTCATAAGTAATAAAACTTTTGATTGGTTAAGTTAAGCTAAAATAAACAAACAGAATACAGTATACAAACCAATAATCCCACCTGATTTTAATAAGTTAATAAATTGAAAGAATAACATACAAATAAGTATAGCTGAGGTATTTTTAACATTATGTATAACTAGCAGAGTACCCGACGTTCGTACGGGGTTGGCATATAAGTTTAAAATGCGTAGTGCAGTTACACTCAAGCTTTGCATTTGCAATGGTGAGGACGCAGTTTGATAAAATTTGCTTCTTTAAATTGACGGTATACTATAGGTAGTATTACACATGTACCAACCATTAATGTTCTACCACTTCACCTTAACAATAAAGAAAAATAAATTATTAAATATTTGCAAAAAATCTCAAATTATTCATGACATAAAAAATAACTGTAAACAATCCTACTTTGACAGTTCTCATTGCGTATCACAGTTTGTTGGTGCCTTCGAGAGATCGATGGTTGTTGCTGCTTAGTTCAAATTAGCTGTACATCAATGCAAAAATAATTATAGTGCTGCACCCTGTTGGTAAATCTTATAACTTTTTAATGCTTTTGTATTTCATAGAACCAACTTTTTTAGTTGAAACAGCTGACTAAATGCTTTAATTCCCTTTAAATATGGATACTCATAAGGTTAACATGGGGAACTGCAGAGCCACTGGGGCGGAGCCCGAAAGGATTTTTGAGATGATGATATACCTATATGTTAATCGGGAATGTAAGCTATCATCATGCCAAATTTCAGCCCAATCCGTCCAGTGGTTTATGCGTGATTGAACTTCAAACAAATAAACAAACAAATACACAAACTTTCACATTTATAGGCTAATATTAGTAAGATAAGATATATATATTCATCAATAACATTTTGAACGGATGGTGTTTTTGGCCTTTGGTGATTTAAAAACGTTAATAGGCCCCAGGCCTAGGTCGCCATGAGACCTACGGTAATAGCTAATTCACTTAGGGAAATTTGCTAATAAAATAATGTGTCAATGTAGGGCCTACTAAAAGCTGCCACTGACATTCTTCCCACTAGTATTTAAAGCTGACAGTCAATCGTTCCAAAACCTGACAGACATAAATTAATGTTATATTAAGCTAAGGTATTTCGTATGCTTTGGGGAAAATGTAAAGCTAGATAGATTTATGGATAAAGAGCATTTTACTAGATCTATAAAGTTAAAACAAATAGGCTTGGCTACGACATACTTTTGTCTTGAAGTTTCAGTTCTACTACACCGTGAGTCACGAAAATACATTATGTGAAACCACACGAAAGCAACATTTAGGGCAATCATTCTGATCCATTGTGTTAGGCCCTAAGTTCAATATTTGTTTATTGACTCAAAATGCTAAATAAATGTACATTTAAAAGTTTTAGTTTTAACAAATTTTCTATCAATATGCACAAGACATGCGGATTGGTTTGAAGATATGACTATACATGGCAAACATAAATAATATGGGATACTTTATCCCCCCACTCAACATTTAAAATAATTTAATAAATATACGATTATTGAATATGGAATTTAACATGATTAGGTATTGTGGCAAATTAAATTAAATTTAAATACTAGGCTATATAGTCTAAACTGTCTACTGTCTAAAGCCTTTGATTGCGTGGATCATTCAATTTTGCTTTCAAAATTGAAAGACTATGGTATAAAGGGTAAAAGTTTGTCTTTATTAGACTCTTATTTACAGAATAGAAAGTATAGAACAATAGTGACCAAAAACGACGTGAAACTGGAATTTATCTAATTATGGCGTACCTCAAGGGTCAATATTGGGCCCTCTGTTTTTTCCTGATCTTTATTAATGACCCTCCAAAAAGCTATTGGCAAAGATTTAATCTTATTTTCTGATGATACAACAGCAATCATGAGAGAGGATTCAGTAAATAACTTAATTGTATCAATGGAAAAAACTTTGGATTGTATGAAAAATTGATTTTCAGACAATGGTTTAAAGGTAAATATTGACAAAACTCATATAATCAAATTTTCATGTGCTTAAGGAAGTGGGCGAGCAAGGGACAGCCCTGGCCCGGTCACAGGTAGTCCAGGGTCCAGACGCCACATTACTGTATCGTGTATACAGATAATAAGTGTACCTAAAGGTTACTTATTAATTTTCAAGTTTATGTCCATAATCTTCTAATTATTTTCCTCTTAAAGGAGGTAGGACACTTTCTAGTTGTAGAGAATGTTTTTCGTAGAAGCTTTAGGTTTGTATTCTATAACCACTAGCCCAACATTTTTCCCCGACTCAAAGCCACTATCGCTAATTAACAAAAAGTAACCGACAATGAAAACTACTGCTCACAGCACAAATATAATTGTAAAATTTAAGGTAAAACAATAGGCCTACTCTTTCACTCAGCCACATGTCACAGAGGAGTGAGCAAGTCTTCTAGTATAAGACTCCTGTATCTTGTATAGTTAGCCTCCAACCATAGACCTAGTACAGTATTTAGTAATTGAGAATAAACTGTATGGAAAAACTAACATTGAGTGTTCTGTCTCTTGTTTTTTTTATTGTGTAGCCTAATTTTGATTTAACTTATCAAAATTTTTACTACTTTTCAGAATAGCAGCGATGGAATTGGATATGAAGTCAAGAACTTGGCTCCTTCATTCAGCAATAGAATACAGAAAAAAAACAAACTTAAAAGTAAAGGACCCAAAATTCATAGATTATATGTTTGAAAAACAGCGTGAAAAGGGCATTACCTTATCTAGATTACAATTATTATCATTTGTAAATGATCCTATGGGGAAAAAGGGTAAGTTATGTTCAAACAATGTTATTTAAGTAAGACTGGTTAGTTTTATGAGATACTGTCTGTCTGTAGGCCTAAGTAGCACCAAAACCGCCCATCTGATCACTGCAAAACTTTTGATGATTGACTTTGTGGATTTTGTATCTTATACTTCAATACTTTTCATTGAAATGGGGACCATGTTGCCAAAGCAAAAATGGCACCCTTAACGTCTCAGACGCTAAAGCTTTCTCTGAATTTGATGTTGATGTTATAGCCTGCATCTTGCATTAATCAATTAAATAATGGGAGTTACACTGGTTGGGATGAAATTCATGCAAACCTAATAAAATCATCGGTTTCTTCAGTTTTAAAACCACTTATTAATGCAATCAACAAGGGCCAGATTTACCACTGGCCCTTCTCGGCCGCGGCCTAGGGCAAAACATTATGAATCATGGTTCAAAACCAGCTAATGCGGCTAAAACCATAACAGAAGGTCCGGTACATTTAATAATCTGGCATTTGTCTAAAGGCATATAAAAATGTATTTACCTAACCTGCCATGTTAAACTTACCTATCCCAAGCGTGATGTATATAACTTCGTTACTTCTCGAGTGATGTAAAGTTGAAAAAAACTCACTCGGTGATGTAATGAAACCCATTTAAATAACATTGAGTGCTTAACTTAAAAAATATACCTCTATGGAGCCAACGACGTTCAACGCTAGAAATCAGCTGTGCGCTTTTATTGTTATGTGTTGAAGAATTTTCCTAACCTAGCTTTTGTTTCTAAATTAACGTTACTGTTAGAAGATGAGTGAAATGGATAGTGAAAAATATTGTTCGTAACCTCCTGTATATTGTCGGGTCAGGTAAAATCTTGTACGTTACACGTTACGCAAGAGCGTGTTTACATCACTTCGGTAAATTATGCAACTCGCTTCCGCTCGTTGCACAACATTCACCTGCGTGATGTAAAAACGCTCTTACTACACTTGTAAGGTAAATAGCTATAATTATTTTTTAAGCTATATTACTCCATTTGGCTGAGTCAGTATCGATTGAAAGAGTTGGTAGCGATTGTCAGATTCTGGGAACAATCAGCAGACAACACGAGCAACAGCTCTAAAATTAGTGGTATTTTTGCTAGTCACAAAATTCAGTAATCCGCTAGTTTCAATAATTTGGCAACACCAAACTCCCGAACCTGTTAACAGCTGATTACATTCAGTTGAATTTTCAACCACAGTCATTTTGTCAAAACAGTTAATGAAAATGGGTTTTAAATAGAAACTTTGATAAATAGGTAAGGTAGGCTAAATAAAACATTCTATTGTATGGATATATAGGGTGCGGCAAAACAAATTCCGCAGTTTTCGGCATTCACTTGTTCTATGATCCGCTGTTTCAGCTCTTGCAGTGTATGAGGCTGACTTTTAAACACCTTTTCCTTTAAGTAGCCCCAAAGAAAATAGTCACATATACTCAAATCAGGTGACCGCGCAGGCAAGCCAACATCACCCCTCAAAGAGACCATACGTTCAGGAAACATTTCCCTCAACACATCCATGGAAAATCGAGATGTGTGAGCTGTAGCTCCATCCTGTTGGAACCACAAGTCCCCTAATCCATGTTCTTCAACAATGTCATTGATTCTTGGTTCCAAGAAGTTTCGCAGCATTGACACGTAACGTTCGGAATTAACGGTCACTGACACACCTTCTTCCTAAAAAAAGTAAGGGCCTATAACACCAAACTGAGACACTGCACACCACACTGTGCTCTTGGGAGAATGTTGGGGTTTCTCGTGCAAAATGTGAGGGTTGTTTTCAGCCCAGTAGCGAAAATTCTGCTTATTGACATGACCACTGAGGTGAAAATGTGCCTCGTCACTGCTGAAAAAAACTGCATCTTCGGGGATCTGTTGAAGCATTTGCTCACAAAGATTTTGTCGGTTCACATGGTCTACAGGGCGTAGTTCCTGGACGCACATAATTTTAAAAGGATGAAACTTTAAATCGTATTGAAGCATTCTTCTTAAACTACGATTTGAAATCCCAAGGGCAACTGCATGCCTTTGAGCAGAACGTGTCGGCGACTACTGAACTGCTGCTCTCACTCGTTGGACATTTTCCGGTGTTCTAACGGACCTACGTCGACCATGATGGCGTTTTCTTAATGTGCTTCCAGTTTCTTCTAACTGCTGAACCCAAGAACAAATCGTTTTTGTGTCCGGAACATTTTTATTCCGTGGAACATTGAATTGTCGTCTGAAGGCCCGTTGCGTAGCAACCACAGAAAGACTGTTTTCGTAAAACGCACACACAGCAAAACCGCGATGCGCACCAGTCCAAACCATGTTAGGTACTGAAATGGGGTGCGCGACAGAACAAAGGGAGACCACCTGCACCTGCCTACCCCCACCACTGCCCGAGCGGCGGGAGATTGAAACTGCGGAATTAGGTCTGCCGCACCCTGTACAATCAACATATTTTTAGTATAGTAAAGTAGTAAGTTTGTTTGTCTATTCAAAAATATAGGTATTTTCATTTTATGGTTTTTTTTCATGAATGTAAAATTTTTTATGTAGGCTATCAAGTAATCTTTAAAAGGTTTTTACCGATTATAGCCTTAGTAATTTTTTACTGCAATATTAGTTTTTTCTCCTGATCAAGTATGGTACCTACTATATTGAAACCCTCTATTTGCGCAAGTGCCCTCTTATTCAGAAGTGCTGTAAATCACTATGCAGACTTAGTAATGATGTACTTACATGGCTCATGAACTTGATCATGTTCAATTTCAAATATTGTAACGTTGAACTCATTTTTAGGTGCTAAAAACTCAAATCTCCCCACAAGCAGTGAAAGCTCCGTCGACACCCCTGCAAGAACTAAACAACCACCACAGCAGCCCAGGTTGAATACAAATGACCAAGATGCTGAAGCTACTTCAACCGGCAAACACACACGTGTAGAACAGAAAGATTTTGTAAAGACAAAAGGTAAAAAAACATTCTTTAACATGTCCACATTGTAGTATGCCTACACTAATAGTGTACTCTAGTACTCCAGTGTTTCCCAAGCCTTTTCCTGCCACACTACTTGACAAGAAAAACATTTTCCTACAGTCACCCGACAAAGTTGGCTTCCTTGTACTGTTTATAGTACAGAAAGCTGCTAATTGCTGCATATTTATACTTTGCCGCACATCAGGATTCCAACGAAACAACACAAAACAGCGTGGTTCCATTATGCACGTAATCCGTGTACGCTTGGAAATAGGTTGGCAACACTTAAAGATAATTATAATATGAGCAGCTGATTGACTATTATAACTACGATTTAACCTGTCATTTCGTGTTTATAGTTTCGGTATTTCTGAACTTTCTGGACTTTTCTTTTAAACGTTTTTAAAACCTTCCTACGATCTTAATAAACAAGAAAATACCTTTTAAGCATTTTTTTTAGGCGCGGAAACCACTTCAAATTACAAAAACATACGGAACTATATTCTCAAAACGCGGAGCACATTTCTTGCCGAGGAAAAATAGCGGAGTGATATGGACCGCGGGTACTACTTTCTCTAGGGCACCATTTGTGTTGCCAGCTGAACCTAAAAACGTGTTGCATAGTGTTTGAAAGACTAATTATTTATATGCTTTATAGTGACTGTAGGAAAAATATAATGTGTAACACGAGTGAACAAGGCCTTTGCTGCACTCGAGATCGAGATCATTCCACACTCGCCTGCGGCTCGTGCGTAAACATTGCTCTCGTGTGCAGCAAAGTGCCACTTTCACCACTAGTTACACAAATAACTATTGCACACCACTTGACTTTTGGAGGTAATTGTGGATAAACTGCATGTATTATTTATTTTGGCTATTCTACTTAACCTGTTTTCTAACTATAAGTAGAATATGAACAAAGATTTTGTGTTGTTATATTTGACTAGTTGTGGGCCAAGTAGGCTTAGCCTACTCTGTCAGTAAAAGCTTCAGTATCCAATAGTCAACGGTAAAAGCTTAAACTTTATTCAGAATAGGTGGTTTTCAAGAGCTGCTGACCAAAACATTACATATTTCCATCCATAAAGTCAAATTCTGCAGGAAAAACACACTTGAAAAAAATTCAACACAAACACGGCCATCTATTATTCATTCCTATTATCAGTGATGTAATTATAAACTTTCCAGTGCAGGAACACTCACCATTGTTGTGGAAACATATAATTCGCTTTACTCTCTTATAAAAATATATAGGTTCAAAAAATATATAGGTTCTTAGGGAAAAGCAGGGAGAGTAGAAAAGCCATTCCCACGTGTTCCCGCCCCACTGTACCCATGACGATAATATAATTTTTTTCCAATTCATGATTTTACAATAAAACAGCAACTTTGTTGTTAGAATAACTTACACTCATTTTAAAATATAATTTATAAAATGTCATGCATTTTTTAGGTGCAGTCAAGATGGAAAGCCGAATGAAAAATGACAGTATTAGTTACAAGAATGATACCAAAAACATAGCCAAAATTATAAATCCAGAAATTGTAGAAGTAGCAAAAACATTAAAATCAGAGGAGGATTTGAGTGGTAATGAAAAAATCAGAAAGAAAGTGCAAGGTAAAGCTGCATCAGTAAGAGCTTCCAAAACAGAGAACGTTCCAGCTGTAGAAAAAACCAAGAAAAGTGATATCATCAACATGCCATTAAAGCAAATGTGTTTTAATGTTGGTGATAAAAAACAGCTGGTGGCTACTACGGATTTGTCAGAAAATCATGTCCATCCTACCAAGGAAGTTTTAACGATTAAAACAAAGAAAACTAAATCGAAAACCATTACACCAGAGAAAGTGTTGCTCACCCCTGTAAATGCAGATGTTGATAAGCCTGAAAGTGATAACAAACAAATTCAAATTAAATTAACCCCAGGAAAAAATCTTGATGAATCACGGAAAACTCCTGCAGTTGAAAAAAGCACAACCAATTCCAAAACTGTCACACCATCAAAGCCAGTTGTTAAGAGAGCCATTGCAAAAGGTTTGCAAGGTAAGATTATTCACTTTAACTTTGTTTATAAAATGAATATATTTTAAGTAGTGATGTGTTGATACCAAAATTTATCGATTCTCTTACCTATACTGATAACTGATAAATCTTTTCTAGCTGCTGATACCAATACCATTTTTTTTTTAGGTTTTGACAAATTTTCTGCTAAGAAAAAAACTAGTGCTGCAAGCTGCAATGAAAAATTCTAACAATAATCCCTTATGAAAATCCCTCAGCAGTAACGCAAATATCATTATCGTCTCCTGTGATAGCGTTAAATCCTGATATCTCCTGAGAAGATGTTGACATCATCGTCTCCCGTGGTCATGGAAACCTTATCACCTTCTTGCGCAATGGCGTAAAAATTCTGATCATCTCTTGCGGCCATATAGATATCATCATTGTCCTCCGCGACCGCGGTAATTTCATATACTGAACATTTCCTGCGGTCGTGTGGAAATTATTGTCATCTTCCGCAATAGTGGCAAACTTCTCATCATCTCCTGCGATCGTATGGACACCATCATAATCTTCCGCTATTGCGGCAATATTCTGATCATCTCCCTTGGTTGTGTGGTCATCATTGTTTCATGTGGTCACAGCAAAATTCTGAACATTCCCAGCGGTAACGGGACCTCAAATCAATAGAGCACTCTTTGATGCAGTACTACATTACATCAGTGTACTGTCTTTAAAACAGACCATATTAATTTTAATATGCATCAGCTGACTTTTTTGTTTGTTTTTGTTTTTGTTATGAGTTTCCGGAATTGGTATTAAAACAGGGTTTATGTAATGTTGGTTTTATTTTATCTTTAAATACTTTACAATCAGTTAAATATAAATAAGTCTTCTAAATTCTCATTATTCATCAACTTGATTCAGTTCAAGAAAATAACCTGTAAGTTTTTTACTGTAAGGCTTTAACAAGTTTATTATTTTTAGATGTTCCACTTCAATTTGAAATTAAGAAAGAGTCTGAAATTGAAGTCGAGATAACCAATATTCCCTCCTCTGAAGAAAACAAGATTTCTGAAAAGATGGACGGTGCGAGTCAAGTTGCTATTGGAGAGAAAATAAGCAAAGGCACAAGAGCACAGAAGAGAAAAAAAGGCTTGCTCCCAGGTAACTCTTAGCCTTCTCAGGTCTTTTTCCACTTGATCTTTCCATTTAAGTCTAGGCCTTCCTAGCCGTCTGGTGCCTGTTGGTCTCCCTTCAAATGCTCTTTTAATAAGAGTATTTTCGGGTCTTCTCGTGTCGTGACCTGCCCATCTCAATTTTCTGCTTATAATGATGGCTAATTTTTCCACATGTTTGTACAGAGTTCTTTGTTCATGAATTCTTCGGATTATCCATTCCCAATTTTCATTTATTGAGCTATATAGTTTCCTTAAAACTTGATTTTTGAAAACTACATTTTTTTCCAGAATTAGAACTACCAGCAATGTAAGTCTAAAGTAGTAGTTTGGTTGCACTAATGTGCAAACTATACTAGTTACGTAAGCCTTTAGCACCATGGTCTCAGGCTTTGTTTTTATGATGACTGCTGTAGATAAAAGCATCTCTTTGCGACTACTCATTAGTACATACTAGTACTTTGTGTACTAACACTGTATTTTTTATCGTAACACAACACTACTGCTGTTTTAAACCAGTAAAATTGAATTCTTCAGAGAAGATTGCTTTAATGATGTTTTTTTAAACTCAACATGGCTTAGAATTATAAACTATAAATAGAAATAGAATTATTAATAAGGCGGGTTTATGTTGCTTGAGTACTACTTTTGTTATCTACTATGTAAGCATAAAAATTGTGTATTTGAATGTAAATGTCAATATGAAACCACATTCTGTGACCAGATAAGTCAATTTCAATTTATCAAACACTCTTATTTACTTTATTGATTGTAAAATAAAATTTTTTTTAGGTGTAAAACCTGACGATGAAACTGAAGAAACTTCTAAGACTGAAATGAAGTCAAACAATATCTCCCCAAACAACAAAATACAGGTCTCTGAAAATCATGACAGTGCTATTGAATCTACTGTTAAAAGGAAAAGGAGCTCTAGGAGTCATTCATCCTCCAGTAGTAGTTCTATTGCTGAGTTGAAACCAACACAAGAATCCCAATCTACTTCTGCGAGCCCAAGTGCTACAACCACAGCTGAGATTAGTTCTCAAGGTATGTTTTTGTGTTATTTTTGTTTTACTTACACACAATTCATGAATTCAATTATCTACAATTTTTCCTCAAATATTCTTCAAAACAGGAAAAGTTGTATGCAAATGGTTCTAGTAAAAAGTATACTGTTGTTGGTTAAATTATTAAACTTGATTTTAAAATTTGATTTGTAAAATGTCGTGAATTTTTTAGGTGCAGTCAAGGTGGTAAACCCATCAAAAAATGAGACTAAACCCAATCTTAGTCATAACGATGAAACCCAAACCACAGCCAAAGTTATAAATCCAGAAATTGTAGAAGAGGAAAAAACATTTAAATCAGAGGAGGATTTGAGTGCTAATGAAACTATCAGAAAGAAAGTGCAAGGTAAAGCTGCATCAGAAAAAGCTTCCAAACGAGAGAAAGTTCCGGCTGTAGATAAAACCAAGAAAACTTCTACCATTAATATGCCAATCAAACAAATGTGTTTTAATGTTGGTAAACGTGTCGGTGATAAAAAACAGCTGGTGGCTACTACTGATTTGTCAGAAAATCATGTTGATCCTACCAAGGAAGTTTTAACAATTGAAACAAAGAAAACTAAATCGAAAACCATTACACCAGAGAAAGTGTTGCTCACCCCTGTAAATGCAGATGTTGATAAGCCTGAAAGTGATAACAAACAAATTCAAATTAAAGTAACCCCAGGAAAAAATCTGGATGAATCACCGAAAACTCCTGCAGTTGAAAAAAGCACAACCAATTCCAAAACTGTCACACCATCAAAGCCAGTTGCTAAAAAAGCCGATGCAGAAGGTTTAAGAGGTAAGGTTCTTTGCTACAAACTTGTTTCTGGTAAGTAGGGTTTGTATAACCAGATAACATGTAATTATACAGTAATTTATTGTATCATGCTTTTGTTTGGTATTTCAGAATGCATCCAAATAACCTCAAATCAATAGAGCACTCTGAGGTGGCAGTGGTACATTACATCAGTTAAAAAGAAATACGTCCTTAATGTCCTCATTGTTTGTCAATTTGATTTAATTTAAGAAAATAACCATAGTGTTTTACTGTAGAGCTTTAACAAGTTTTATATTTTTAGATGTTCCAATTCAATTTGAGAATAAGACAACTTCCGAAATTGAAGACAAGATAGCCAATATTCCCTCCTCTAAAGAAAGAAAGATTTCTGAAAATATGGATGGTGGGAGTCAAGTTCCTATTAGAGAGAAAAGAAGCACGAGGAGCCAATCAGCTACCTACGGAGTGGAGGTGAAACCATCACAATCTGCTGTTAAGAGACGTAGGATTACTCACACATGTGAGCTTATTTCTCAAGGTAGGCCTATAGCACAAATTGAGTTCAATAGTGGTGTAACGACTACTATCTGCAGAATTACCCAGTGTTCTTGCGTTTGTTTAAAAATTTAGCGATCTGTGAGCAATTATCATCCTGAGCTTTAGCAAAATTTTGTACTGTCTCTTTGTGAAAACTAGCAATATCAGCAATTATCACTGGATCTATTGAATTGTTCAGAGATGATTACAACAATGTTGTTTTGCGAACACAACAAGGCATTGAATTAAAATATAAATAAAAAATAAAGCTGTTTTACTACTTTTGTTATCTACTATGTAAGCATAAAAATTGTGTATTTGAATGTAAATGTCAATATGAAACCACATTCTGTGACCAGATAAGTCAATTTCAATTTATCAAACACTCTTATTTACTTTATTGATTGTAAAATAAAATTTTTTTTAGGTGTAAAACCTGACGATGAAACTGAAGAAACTTCTAAGACTGAAATGAAGTCAAACAATATCTCCCCAAACAACAAAATACAGGTCTCTGAAAATCATGACAGTGCTATTCCATCTACTGTTAAAAGGAAAAGGAGCTCTAGGAGTCATTCATCCTCCAGTAGTAGTTCTATTGCTGAGTTGAAACCAACACAAGAATCCCAATCTACTTCTGCGAGCCCAAGTGCTACAACCACAGCTGAGATTAGTTCTCAAGGTATGTTTTTGTGCATAGAAACTTACATAAAATAAACAATGGACAACTTTGGTAGAAGTTTACGGGATGGGTTGATACTTTTAGAAATTCAACATCTGTTCATAAGATAAGATGTAAGAATACATGAAAAACTACACAGTAGAACCTCGATTATCCAAGGTAATAGGGGGAGGGGGTGTGGCCTGCTGAACACTACATCAAACGCGACATGTCAAGACATTTTGACGGAATACGTTTTATATGGCTCAGTATGAGTTTAAATGAAGCTGACGCATACGGGAGTGTTGCATGACATCAGAGTGTCACATTTTCCAATTATGTATGTCAGTGTCACTCCAAAATATAATTTTTGAGCTGTCTCACGACGTCCAATATAAACTTTAAGACTGTTTCACATAACATCCAAATCTAATAATGTCCAAAAGTACAGTAACTGCAAGAAAAATAGTCTTTCTACATGCTTAGGACGTCATGAGATTGGTCATCGTGCGACCACGTACTTTATAATTTTTGTCTAAAGCCACTGTCAGTTCCACAATGTCCACAACTCCTGCATACGGAGCTAGGTTAGGTTAGTATGCATTACAGTAGGTAAAAAAAGCATTTAACGTTTTCAGTCGCTCTGAACATCACGGGACAGCGCTGAGCTAAGGAAGTGTTTTTCAACTGGCAGTGGCTTTGAAGGGCAACTGCTACTTTTTTTTAGAGTTTAAATTGCACTGTTTCATGACGAACAATCTCATGACGCCCAGAGCTTGTAGAAAGACTATGTTTATTAGTTACTGTATTATAGGACATTATGAGATTTGGACGTCATGCAACGGTCATATTTTAAATTGGACGTGAGACAGCTCAAGAATAATATTTTTGACGTTTTGACTCTGACTTGTATCATTGGACGTCGTGACACTTGGACGTCATGCAATGCATCCATTGCATACTACATCGAACAAAACGCAATCAACTGACACATCGGTCAGGTGTGTAGCTTTCCAAGAATTTCTTGCTGATGTAGTCAATTTCAGGACTTATTTTTTCAGCCTGTCTGTAGGCCGACACAGCATCATTAGAAAAATTCAAGAACTGCACAAGTAACTGGAAATGCCGGAAACTACCTGAGAAAATATCTTTTTTTCAATCACTTTTCTGGTTGAACACTAGGCTAAGATTGAAGACTTGGTTTAATTACTAGACTAATAATAATAAATAAAGAAAACAAAGTTTGGATCTCATCTAGATAGCAATTCACCCACTTAATTTTTCAAATGTCTCCTACTATTATCAGCAAACCACTGTGCTGCATTATCTGTTGGTTTCCACAGCAATCATTTCTAAAAACAAATGGTTTCTAAGGAAGTCATCAAAAACATCATATTTAGGTTCTAATTACCACTTGATTTATTATATCGTCAATAGTATTCATGGGCAATTTTACTAGCCCCAGCAACCACTTCCTCGATCGTTTCTAAAACTTAATCAACAGTTTGGAGTGGTTGTTCGATCACTTCCTCTGCCTCTGACTCTTCGTCTCGTTCACTTTCATCTTCACTTTAGATATCCTCTTGTTCATTGACATCATTTACATTGATTTCCACTATATAAATCACTCAACAAAAAGCCATCACCGTCAATAAACCGGTACTGTTATTTAAATAGAGAATAAATCTTAAAGTAACCTTTTATTAAAAGTACAATTAAGCAAATAGATATTCACTTAGTCAGCTTATATGTGTTGATTAAAAATTATTTTTTAGATGTAAACCCTGACGACCATGAAACTGAAGAAACTTCTGAGACTGAAATGAAGTTAAACAATATCTCCCCAATCAACAAAATACAGGTCTCTGAAAATCATGACAGTGCTATTGAATCTACTGTTAAAAGGAAAAGGAGCTCTAGGAGTCATTCATCCTCCAGTAGTAGTTCTATTGCTGAGTTGAAACCAACACAAGAATCCCAATCTACTTCTGCGAGCCCAAGTGCTACAATCACAGCTGAGATTAGTTCTCAAGGTATGTTTTTGTGCATAAAAAAAGCTTACCTAAAATAAACAATAGGCAGCTCGGGTAGCAGTTTACGGGAAGGTTTGATTATTTTAGAAATCCAGCATCTGTTCATAAGATGAAGGGAAACGTGAAAAGCCATTGTTAAATCTCTAAACAATTCATGGAGTTCAAAAGATTAATAAACACTCCTCTCAAAATTTTACAAAAATAATTTTTTATCAAATTGTCCATCTCTAGGCTATAAGCTATTACTGTAGGTGGCATGGTAAGACTTGGAACGATATAAGTTTTTGTTTCGATGTCCCCAGGGGCTAAATACACCATCCGTTCAGGTTCATATAATTATATGAGACTTTTAGCTCAATACCTCTAGCAAAAATCATCTGATTTTGTTTAAATTTGGTACAAATATGTAAACTTATGTCTATTCGAATGATTTTGCGAACCAGTATAATCTTTATGGGAAGGTGGTTTAGTCGGTAAAAAAAATCAAAAAGTGCACAACATGTTTAACTCAACAAAATCTGATGTATCCTTGAGATCTAATGTTATCACTTCCTTCTGACTCTTTGTCTGATATACTTTCTCTTAAAAAGGAGTAAATCTTAATTTTTTAAAGGAAATGTTTTAGTGAAAATCCAATTAAGCAAAAGGAATCTAGATGATAGGCTTCCACAGTTACAGCAGATTGCCATATCTTGGTCCTCGGGTGATCTCAAGAGTTGAATAAAAATTTGCCACAAAGATGGATAGCTGCTACGCATCCGAAACCTTTAGTTTCTCTATTTCAACGACACGATCATTACCCGAAGGTCAAGATTAAACAATAACCAAATAGAAATTTGCTTGGTCTGTAGGTTTGCTGCACAGAGCCTTTTTGAATTGTTTGTCTAGATTAAGAAAACACACAAGTGTGTAGTTATGTTTAATAGCATCTAAATACAATATTTAAGGAATAGACAAAGAAAATGACTTACTCTCCTTGTGTCTACAATTCATCATTAAAGATTACATGGCTACTAAAGATGCTTAATATGTTTTCTTTGAGTCAACGTTTCTATCTATATATTAATAGACAAGCATTTTTCTTTAAAACCTTTTTTCTCAACTTGTGTGCATCGCAGGGAAAACTACGCATACTCTTGGAAAGATATTTTTCTATAGATATGCAGAATCCCTTTATAAACTAAATAGCTTCAAAAATGAGCAAAAACAAATTGACTTGAAATATTAAAAAAAAAATTAACATGGGCTCATGGCCCATTCTCACCATTCGCCATTCGTGGCCATTCTGGTGATGAAATAACAACGAAATATAAACAGAAAATCAAAACAACTGGAAGTGAACCAATTCCAATCACATGTTTTATTGACAGTGTGGGGTACTTACTTTCTATGTCCGGAAATCAGACTTCGCTTTTCCAAAAATTATCTACCGATATGGCTTTGTCATTCGCATGTAAAAGATCATCTAATGTGCAAGACTGGTCTAGGCGTGGGCAGATCAGTAGATGGCCAGGATCCTGAACAGCACCACACGCGCACAAGATGTTTTCTTTGTCTGGTAAGAGACCCCATTTCTGCATGTTTGTCTTTTTGGTACCTCGACCCTAATTCGTTCGATTTAGGGTCTTCCACACCGTGTAATGAAGGCCTCCACCAGGAGCCAGTTCCTCCCTGGCTGGTATGGGAGGGTTAGTCAACGTGGCCTCCCACCTTTCCACCCGATTGCTTGAGAGTGATCCATCCAGGACTCGTGTTCGTGATAAAAAGCTCTTTCTGGACCGAAGCCGTCGCTCTGCAGGTTGGTGGCCGTGTAATGGGTGACAAGGGTCTGTCTCTTGCTTAGTCCTTTCTGCGTCGGCAGCGAAATCACGTCGGATTGATTGAGCCCTATGATAGGAAAGAGTTTGTGTACTGGGTTTGGTTTCAAACACCCAGTTACAATCCGAGCCATGTCATTGACTGCAATGTCAACCTTTTTTCAATGTGACAATGCATTCCATTCTGGTGCAGCGTACTCCGCAGCCGACACACTGAGCGCTATAGCTGAGGTTCTGAGGACATTAGGGTTAGCACCCCAACATCTGCTGGTGAGCTTCCTGATGATATTATTCCTCGCTGAGACTTTACCTCTTGTCACAATACAATGCGCCTTAAATGTCAGTGTGCGGTCCAGTATGACACCAAGATATTTGGGTGTAGGACAATGCTGAAGACGGTCACCCCGCCACCTCACATTCAACTCACGGCCTGCTTCTCTATTGTTTAGGTGAAAGGCACAAACTTGGGTCTTAGCAGGGTTCGGCTTGAGGTGATTTGCGTCATAGTACTGGGAAAGTTCATTTAGAGTCATAGTCAGCTTCTATTCCACCTCTTCAAAACTCCTACCTTGTGCCGCCACCGCCGTATCATCGGCATATATATACTGACGTGTAGCGTTTGGAAACGGTTGGTCGTTAGTGTAAATGTTATAAAGAGCTGGGGCTAAGAAGCTACCCTGAGGCAATCCATTTCCTTGATTTTCTATCTACTTTTCTTGCCTTGAAGGGACACGAAAAACCGCCTGTTATGAAGAAAAGTGCCTATCATTGAAGTCAGCTGATAGTCTTTGGTAATACTGTACACTTTTCCCAAGAGTCTTCGATGGTTTACGGTATCGTAGGCAGCTGTTAAATCTACAAAAGCGACACCCGTGATCTGTTTTCTCTCAAACCCATCCTCAATGTGCTGGGTCAGGTTTAAAACTTGGCCACAACAAGACTTGCCTGATCGAAAGCCTGCCTGTTGTGGAATGATCTTTTGTTCCAGAAAATCGCCGATTCAATTGAGTATCAGACGTTCTAATATTTTATATGTGTGGCATAAGAGTGTGGGGTGGAAATAGAGAATTCTGTACATTACATATTTTTGGTTGTTTTTTGTTATTAATGTTTGGTTTGTTTGGTGTGATTGGCTCAAGGAAATTTCCTGAAAACCAAGCATTTTATGCAGGGTTTTTAAAACAAGTTTTATTTCAGATTTTGAACCAAATGCTCTTGAGGATGGTGAAAGTCAGGAATATAAATTCAAGGTTGGTCAGAACTCGCCATCTGAGGAGGTAAATTCTGTAAATCCGGTCAATGGCAGGCAAGCTACTGTTGGTGGGAAGAGAAACACGCGTAGTCGTTCTGCCTGCAGTGCTCTTAAAGTTGAACCGGATACGCAGCCTCCTTCTAAGAAACCCAGGACTAGCAACACAACTGGGAATAATTCTGAAGGTACGTTTGATCGATTTTCATACAGCTTCAGTTTGGTTTTCTACATGACACCATTTATATTTATGATTACTGTTTAAAAGGAAACAATAATCAAATATTGGACCATGTCTCACAGATGAATTTTTATTTGCCTTCAAAGAATATAAATAATTTATGTCTAAACTTAGCTTCATATGATTGGAAAGGGCTGATTTTTAAATTAAATAATGAGAATTCAGAAACTAAATTTCAATCAATATTTAACATCATAAACAATAATTTAAATTATTTTAAAGTACCGGTACTTGTAAAAAATAAAAACAACAATGGGTGTAAGAGCAAAAATAAATCCAAACAAGAGTGGTATACTGCTGATCTAGCCTCCATGAAGGAGAAACTTTTGAATTTGTTTTATTTAAAAAATAATACAAGTGATTCATGTAATTTAGATATCAATGTGGCTTATAATGGTTTGAAATATAAATATAAAGTAGCAGTGAAAGAAGCGAAACTTCAAAATAATGCATTCCATATAGAAAACAGCAGCAATAAATGTAAAGCAGCTTGGGTTTTAATTAAGAAAAACAAAGTATCTAGTGATGTAGTAGCACCAAAGATTGATTCAGACATTATAAATGATTACTTCATTAACTCTATTATTGATATAAAAAAAAAACTGGACAACCAAAGGACATGTAGCTCTTATTTGGACTTTGTAGATGAAACATTGAATAAAAATAACACTGTATTTAGTTGGGATGAAATAACACCTAAAATGATAGTTAATGCAGTAAAGAAAATGAAAAATTCTAATAGTAAAGATGTGTATGGAATGTCAAACAAATTACTTAAAAGTATTATCCATAGTTTAGATGTACCCCTTGCTATGAGTGCAAATGCATTGTTAAGGGAAGGATTATTTCCAGATTCAATGAAGATTTCTCGCGTTTGCCCGGTCTATAAGAGGGGTCCCAAAAACGAGCCCCAGAGTTATCGTCCTGTCTCAATTGTCCCAGTCCTTGGAAAATTAATTGAAATACTAGTCTATGAACAAATCAGTGATTATTTTGAGGCAAATGACTTGTTTAATGTTTCCCAATTTGGATTTAGAAAAGGAATGTCTACAATTGATGCTCTTGACAATCTCATCAGGCAAATTCATCAGTCCTTTGAAAGCAAGACCTTTGCTCAGGGCACCTTTTGTGACCTGAGCAAAGCATTTGATTGTGTTGACTTTGAAATTCTTATTAAAAAGTTAGAACTGTATGGGTTTAACGGATCTTCTCTAAATTTTCTTTCATCTTATTTAAAAAACCGGAAACAACTAGTAAATTCTAATGGGAAAAAGTCACAAGAAAGGGAAGTAACTTGGGGCGTTCCACAGGGATCAGTCCTTGGCCCACTTCTGTTTTTAATTTACATTAATGACCTTCCAATGGCAATAAATACTAAAACTATTCTGTACGCGGATGATACAACTTTTTTTCATGAAAACAATAACCAACTTGTACTTCAAAATTTAGTCCAAGTCACAAAATTAAACGCATCCAAATGGTTTCATGCCAATGGCTTTCTATTGAATGACTGTAAAACTCAAGAAATAAAATTTACATTGAAACACGATTCTGCCTTAAATAATGAAAATAGTGCTGTCACTACAAAATTTTTGGGTCTTCATATTGATAATAAACTATCCTGGAATGAGCATATAAATTATTTGTCTACTAGACTATCTCGAGTAATTTTTCTTCTTGGTCGTCTCAAAGATGTAATTCCAAAGAACTATTTGAGATCGGCTTATTTTGCATATTTTCAGTCTGTAATGAGATATGGATTGATATTCTGGGGTGGGTGTGGACGAATTAATGAAATTTTAATCCTACAGAAGGGGGCTGTCAGAGCTATGAATGGATCAGAGCCAGACGAGCACTGCAAGCCTCTTTTTAAGGATTTTAAGATTCAAACTGTAATAAATTTGTTTATTTATGATCTTGCCCTTTATATCTTAAAAAAACCTCATTACCTAAAATTCAATAATCATAATCACAATACCAGATTTAAAAATAGTGCCTTGTTAGAATCACATCGTCTGAGTAAGACTAGCAAGAGCCACATAGTGTTATCAACTAAAGTATTTAACCTTTTAAAACACAATATTGATGCTTATCCGCAAGAAAAATTTAAGTCCTTGTTTTATAATTGGCTATTAGACAACCCTTCTTATAGCCTGGACGATTTGTTCAAATCTGGCCAAATAAATCTTTGATTGTATAACCCTGCTGCTAACCTGTTGCTTTATCAGGTCCTTATATTGTTGTTTGTTTAGTCATTTGTACATATTTTAGTTATTGAGCCCTCTATTGTTTTTTTTTTTCAAAATATTGAAAGTGTTTTGATTTTGTTTTGTTTGACAATTGATGTATAATCATGATTTTGACTTTGTCGATGATCTAATGTATCCTTATGACAAATAAAGATTTTTATTATTATTATTATTTATTTATGTATTTATTTGTTCAGTTATTTCATAATCTACTTTATTTTTAATCAAAATATAATTTAATAAAAAATTTAATAAAATTAATAAAAAATTTTATAAAAAAGACACTATTATTTTTATAAATTAGCAACAATTGTTACTGTTATTTAGATGTGTATGTTTTACTCCTCCACAGAGGCAGCGTTTAGGGGGGCCAGGGGGGGCCCATTTTCCTGGGAAATATTGATCAAACTATAACATAGGTCTATTTCTTTATATGGAACTTTTACTGGCTTCTTCTATGAAGAAAACAGCTTGTGACTGTCGTATCAAAGAAGCATGCTCTGCTGTGACTGACACTTTAGCCTCTGAAATTGATGTGTTTTCCAGAAAAACTCCTAAATCAGACCAACCTAATGAGCTTGTGTCAAATTTGGTACAACAATTTAAGTCCTAAAATATTCACAATCAGTTAATTTTTCCTAATCTCTTTAAGCTTCTGCAGTGGTTTTTTACTGTCTCAGTGTCTACTGCAACCGCTTAACGGTCTTTCAGCATCTTAAAACTGATCAAAAACTATTTAAGAAACTTAAAGCTCCAAGACCGTTTATCAAATTTAGCCATACTGGCTATAGAAAAATAGACCCCCAACAACATAAAACTTGAAGAATGTGAAGTATTTGCGTAAACCTAGACATTAGGTTATACGAGTACCTAGGTTTGCAACTACAAGGAAACTAATAAGTGTGTTTTAGCGAATTTCCCTATAGGGAAGTAGCTATTACCGTAGGTCTCATGGTAAGACCTAGGCCCGGGACCGATTTACTTTTTCATTTTGATGTCCCCAGAGGCCAAAAACACCATTCGTTCAAATTTTTATATATCTATATATATATATATATATATATATGTCCATCCGCACGATAACTTGAGTAATTTTTGTCCGATTTTGATAAAATTTGGTTTGAAGGTGTAAGGTGGGATAAACTTGAATGAGTTCGCGAACCAGCATGATCGGACTATGGGAACAGGGGTTTATGGGGGGTTTGATGGGGTAAAAATAGGTTTTTCCCATTTTTGTCCCTAAAAACACAAAATTTCACAATTTCTTTTCAATCCATTTTGTAGAGCTTAAAAAAACAAATAATTTAGTATATTGAAGCGTTATTATGCGCCTAATTGTTACGGAGAAAATTCAAAAAAATTGTAATTTTAAAATTCCCATGTTATTCTTATGGAGAATAAGTCAACTGTTTTAGTTTGCTTGTTTATGAACATATTTTGATCATATTTGGAAAATACATCAATTTCTTACTAAACCACAGTACCTTTTAACATTTTACATTAAAAAAAAAACTTTTTTACCCTCCCTGTTGCAGCAAACCTAAGTCCTCATTAAACTAATTCTGTTTAAAAAGGGAATAAATGTGATATTTTTAAGGAGACATTTTAGTTTAAATCCAATCAGGCAAATGGAAATTTGCTAAGTCTGCAGGTTTGCTGTGGCGGGGGTATTTTAGTAAAGTATTAATAGCTCAGTATAAAATAAAAATAAAAATTTGCCAAGTTTGGTCAAAATATAGCCAAAAACAAGCAAACTACAACATTTTACAATATTCTTGAATAACAAGGGAATTTTAAATTTAAAATTTGTGTAAATAGGTACTAATAATTATACAAAAACATTTTGATATATTAAATTATTTGTTTTTCAAGCTCTTTAAAAGGGTTTAGAAATAAATTGGGAAATTTTGTGTTTTGAGAGTAAAAAATTAGAAAATACCCCCGCCGCAGCAAACCTGCAGAATATGCGAATTTCAACTTGTCTTTTACTCAAATATTTCTATAAATAAGACATATTTATTCCCAATTTAAATAACATTAGATTTAACGATTGCTTAGGTTTGCTGCTACAGGGAAGGTAAGATTCTTACCTGTTGTAAGATCTTTTAAATGTTTTTCAGTCGCAGATCAGAACACAGGAAATCGTAATGATACAGATATTAAAAGAGAACTAATAAAACAAGAATTTATCAAAAAAGAACGCAGAAAGCCTAAAAAGGTTGGGCCTGTTCGAAAGGCTTATTTGCAGTCAAGGAAAAAAAAATACAATGAAAAGAAGCGTAAGTTGTTTTACTTATAGTATACAGATATTATGCCAACTTAAAAAAATATTTTGCTAAACAATGCTTATTCTATCTTTTTAATCTTCTATCTTTTAAAATAAAAAAAATATATAAATCTTGATTAGATATGCTAGTGATATTTTGGTTGAAGTAGAAATATATACCATTTAATATAACTTACTCTGGAACAAAAAAAACTTTGAACACATAGTAAACATATAATCAAGATGTAGACAATGTTTCAATGAGAGTTGTATTTGATTTGAAGGAATGTAACGTTGGTGGGTTACAAGTTACAACTGACTTAAAACAATGCAATCTGTGATAGTTCACTTGTAAAGGTGCTGTTTTCCATAGATTATTTTAATTTTTGTAATATTTCAAGAGAGACTTAAGCTTTATTAATATTTACCTAGACAAATTTACTTTGAAAAAATTAAGGTAAGTTATTTATACTGTTTATCATTTCCACTTGTATGGATCATGTTTCTATCTTCAATTTCTGTTGTCTTCATACAAACATCTTTACAATAGCGTGGCACCTTGCACCTATTAAGTGTGTAAATTATTAGCATAGATAAAACATATTCCCTTAGTAGATTTCTCATCCTTATGGAACAGCTGAAGACAATTTTACTGTTAGTTCTGTACGGTTTATGTAGAGGTCGTGTTTTGTTTACAATTTGTTTCCCGTTATTACAGCCATTTAAAACCTCGTTTAACCAAATAAACAATAACTCGTCCCCTAGTTATATAACCAAACAGTAAAGCACAAATCAAGAAATTAACCCTAAAATAATAAAAACAAAGTTTTGTCGACACTAGCGCCCATGTGTCACGTACATGAACTAGACACGAAAAACGTGCTTCAAAATTGACAATGGGATGAGAAGTCTACTTGTGTTGGTTAGTCTATGTTATTAGACATTGGATAATGCTTACATTTCTAGCCCTTGGCACCTATTGAGTGCTCTCATTTCTATTAAGCGTTGGCACCAAGAGTGTGCTTTAATGCATAGATATTGACGATATTTAAATGCCTGTCTTTTTGTCTGCTGACACTTTCTAAATGTCAATACATCCCTCGCCTCTTGAGTGCTTTTATTCCTAGTTTATGTCAGCTCAACAACGATTGAACTGAACTGTAACTGTTTGCAGCTAATGCATAAGCTCAGCTAGGCTATATAAACATTTAAGTGTTAACAATTTAGTTTGACCTTATGAGTATTGAAGCTCTGATGGTTTGTTTATTTGACCGAACGGGTCTGAGATTTTCGTTATAGAACACTGATATTATTTTTTACTGAATATATCTTTCCTATTGATGTTGAGTGGACATTGTATCATAAAAAAAATGGTTTGTGAACTTTAAAAACACATTTTCAATGTTTTTTCACAAATAATGGATTGGAATGGTTATAGTTGTTTGGTGTGTGGGAATGGATGGGGGTGGAAGTGGAGGGCATCAATATATAACTAACTACCGGATCTGCAGGGCCGCTAGGTTTTCCAAGCTGCTAGCTTTTTCATTGAAAGCATTGAAGGCGCTCAGTGGGCAAAAGTGCTTCGGAGTGTATTGCTTCTACATTGTCGCAGCATATTTGGCAGTATTCTGTGAGAAGTCTGACTACCAAGAACACTATTAATTTGTTTCAAATTCAAAATTAACATTTTCACATCCATTTTTAAACTCCCTAGCCCATTTCTGCACTTTCCTCTCTTTGCGAAATACTCACACAATTTACATAACAAAATAAAAGCGTCTAGGTGATTTTATAAGCTCCAATTAAAAATCACATATTTGTATGGTGTTAACTTAAAGTAATCGTTAAATCCATAAATTACTTTCAAGTGTTTCGGCATCCTTAACTGTTTTTAGTAGGCCTCCATTCCCCCTAATCAATTTACCCTTAAGTAAAAAATTAGTGAAATTACTATCCTATCCTTTAATATTTCACCAAACTTAAAGAGCACTCATATTTTCCTCTTTCACCAAATTTCTCAAGAGCACACAAGTTATCTTTTTTTACCAAACTTACAGAGCATGTGTATTGTCCTCTTTCTCCAATCTTTCTTAGAAGTATACAGGTTTTTCTCTTTTACCAAAGTTGAGGTTGGTTCACACACATCAGTTATGGCATGTCACATTCAGGCACGTCACAGTTAACAAAAATATTATTGAATGGATTTTCTATTGCACTATCTACACTCATCCGTTGCAATTCCGTCAGTCGCTCTGCCGGCGTCCGTCAGTCAATTTCACATTTCTTTTCACCGATATTTTTTTATTGTTCGGACACCTGACAAACGTGTTTGAGGTTAGGAAATAGTAATTTTTGTATAAATGATCGAGTTTATATCCTTATATGTAATACGTGAAGGTGATTTCTACAAAACACTACTCCTCCGTTAATAATGGATATAATAATAGTCTTCGGGCTTTGCCCCACAGGCCATCAAAATCGCAATGTATTTCTTATGAAGAAAAGATTTTGTTTACTTAAATAGACTAATAATTTTTATTAATTACAGTTGTTCATTGTAAACACATGATACACTCACGAGAGTTTGTTTTCAGAGTGAGTTCGTTTTCAGTTTCGATAACATTCTGATTTCAGTCTGGAGTGGAGATTACATTATCTTTAAACTGACTCTTTTAAGTCATCGGAAATTTTGACTGTTATTCTATTTGAAATAATCCTTTTAATATTTTGCAATTGCTCGAATTCGAGCAAGAGGTGTACTAGTTGTTGATTAATGTTTGTAACAATCAACAAAACGGACGATGAAAATTTGATACAATATTGTGTTTTAACCCTCCGAGCGTCACTTGTCGAAAAATCGACTCACGACACACTTTGTGTAGTTTCACTTGTCGATTTTTCGACACACGAACATCGTTTACGGCGAAAGCTCTATGACTGACTGAATCGGATTGAACTGGATCGAGTTAGGTATCGTTCTTTTTGTTAGATTCAGAGCTTTCTCCGGAGGTCTGTCTCTAAGCGCTATTCATTTTAGTTCCGAAAATATTGTAGCAGACAGCTGACGTGCGTATTTGTAAACAGCACGGTTAACCTCGGACCGACTGATGTGTTTTATTACGTTTATCATTGTTTTAGTGTTAAAAATCAAAAGTTTGTGATATACGTGGTGCATTATAAGAAGATTTAAGTGATTTTGAAGGGCTGGTTGATGATCCTGAAGAAGTAGGTAGTGATATTTATGTAAATTATCAGCCAGATTCCTAGCTATGGTTAGGCTATGCATTCTTAGCTAAACGCTATGTACTGAAATCTGTTTTTTGCCCATAACTTATTTATTTGCAAATCTACTTCCTTATATTATTATATATTTGTAATCCTCATAAAATTTAGAACAAAGTGGCTATTTCCAAATATTTATAGGCCTATAATTTATACAATTTCATTGAGCGCATTTTTTTTTTTTTTGAAAATTTTCCAAAATGTTTTTTTTTTACCTAAAAAATTTGTTTGAAACAAATGTTCCTTATGTTTTATGTATAATATTGAAGCCCATGATTTTCCAAACAAAATGGTATATAGAACAGTAGAATTAACATTGTTTTAAGCTTCTCAGATCCGTTTTAATAAAACCTTGCAAATGCGCCAAAAATAGGCGGACATTAAGGCCTAAACTATGGACACTCGGAGGGTTAAATCAACAGTTTTAATAACAACACTGTAAATAAAGTGATGGAAGAGTGTTTGAAACCAAATGCCAGTGACGTAGCCAGGCTTTCAAAATAGGGGGGGTCGACCGACCGGGCCCAGGTAGAAGGGGGGGGGGTCCGGGTATATTTTTGAAAATATAGGCCCTAAAACAGTCTTTTTTAGCTCTCCTGGCATTGAAAATAATTAACCCCAACGTCAATCCAGTATTATTATATAATTTTAAGTTTGATTTAACAAAAAAAATATTATATTTAGGCCTGAAGGGGGGGGTCCGGACCCCCAGAACCCCCCCCCCTGGCTACGTCACTGAAATGACTGACAGTTTGACTGAGAAATTGAATGTGAATGCAACTGAGACTAAACTGTGACTGAACTGTTATGTAACTGATATATGTGAGTCGGCCTTATGGAGCACATGTATCGTCCTCTTTCTCCAAACCTCTTTGGAAAACACAAGTTTTCCTTTTTTTTTAACCCTTGGAGTGTTCAGCTAGAAAAAAAATAATCAGGATTACTATTCTGTACTAACTTTTGAACATGACGTTCTCTAAATATTACAATTTTTACTTAACGAATGCATCATGATAGTGTATGTACCATTGGCTTTTTTATTGTAATACAATTAATTTCTAAGCATTTCTAGGTTCATAGATATTGTTTGTTTATTTTAAAAACTGCATCTTGCCTAATAACGGAATAAACCAAAAATTAAAACCATCCTTGTAGAAAAACATAAAATTTGGATGCAAAAAAAGATTTTAAAGACTTTGTTGTCTTTAACTTTATGCTAACTGCCTACTATAGCTGCATGGTGCTTGGTACTGATGGTGAATGCAGCCTGATTTTATTGTAGTCAATATAATTTTAAGGAATATATTTCTTTAATTTCATATTTAAATCCATCAATATTTTTCCATCAATTTCCATTCTTGTTGAATCTAAGAATGTGTTTCTTGTTTTTCCCCCAGTTAATGGCACATGATTATTTTCATACACAAAATAAAAATTAATGTGGATAGTGCCAAAATTAACCTGAAAGTCCCAAACCACTTTGTCAGTCCCAAAATCACTTAAAATTTATAAACAAACCTTTACTTTCTGAACAACTCACATTAATGCAAATATTTCCAAATCTTGAGACCAGCTAATGAGTACTTGTATTTTTATCAAATATAAATTTAATGTTAGTTCATCTTATCAAAATCCAGCATAAGCCTGTAATGGAAGGAGGAAGTGTTTGGCAATGTTGTGTGAGTAGGCTGGTACTGTTGTTAACAATAACTTGTTGTGCTGACCTACATAAGCTCCATGTTCTTCACAGGTCAAACTATTTAGTGTGTGGATAAATAAACGTTCCTTGTAAAATCCTGTATCACAGATATAATCTATCAGTTTGTGCATGGTCTTAGGTGGCATTCATTAAACCATGGTCTTAGGTGTTGTGATGCATTCCTTGCTTTAGTTTCCCTGTGGAATGTTGCTTGCGAATGGATTCTGTTTAATCTCACAGCTTTGCGCTTCATTCACCCTGGTGTAACACTTCCTCCTCAGAAGAGATGTGCTAAACAGTTTATTTCTTAGGAATGGAAAGGGAAATGCAGTTGGGAATAATCCCTGTACCTTCTCTGAGTTGCACTCCCCAGTCACCATACATTCCTATGGTGAGACCACATGTTTACTCAGCACATTGCTGGCAACGTCCTCCTGGTATTATACCCCTGCGGCCCAGGTATTTCCCAAGGGGTAATAAGCCACGATTCCCTCCATGGCCACATAACGCTTTAAATCAACATCATAGAATGCAACCGAGGATGAACTTTTATCTGCCAGTAAATGTGACCTCACCCCGTCAAAACATGGGCTATCCCAGGCAATATGGACGATTGAGAGGTAAAAATCACTCTGCAACCAACCGTAGAATAGTGGATTTGGTGGATGTTCTAGAATAGTGCATTGTGGGTGGTTAGTTTGCATTCTAGAGCAATAGACCACATTTTTAAATTTTTTTTGTAGGTGTTTGTGTGTGTGTACCCTTCACCATCCTCTGATGTATTTTGCAATTTTTGTATCTGGGTAAAATCTTGTGATTATTTGTAGATAGGTAATCCTTATTTTAAATTTTAGAATCAATTATCTCTTTTTTAACATCCCTTCAGATTACACGTCTAGTAAAAAATAATTTAACAACTAATAAGATCCTGTAACTCGTGAAAACTGACAACAAAATTTTACCGTTTGACACTATTTTTAATGGATTTTCAATATTAATATTTACTCAGATTTGTATAATCATTCAAGTCTTAAACTGAAAACGCGTTTGAAATATTACTTAATTAACATCCCCAAAAAGCTGTAATATATAATTTCTTTCATAGAAATAACTCAACATTAACACATGAAACACTAGGAAAGGACAACATTCTTTTATCAGATTTTGGGAACGTTACTAACAGCTGGTTTATGTGGAATTAAGAGTTTTATCATTTAGGTTATTATTTGTCTTTTGTAAGTTCCAAGTGAGTTGATCTACAATGTCGATTTCTAAAATTTTGACCTCAAGTTTCCTTAAGTTGCTTGTTCTTCGATTCCCCATTCTTGTTGTCCAATCTCTCGCAGTTGTCCACCCATTTCATTGTCATCATCTTGCATCTGAAAAAATCTATTAATCCAACTTACTCACAGTTTAACAACATTATTTGTCCTTCTTCAAGATGAAAGTGAATTGCTTTCTTTAATTCTCTTTTCTTCCTCCAGCTATTAAACTCTATGAGGTGTTCTTATCAGAACTGTTCCTGGATGGAAAAATAAATTAGCCATGGTCAATTGTTTAATATCATGGTGAAATGTTTAATATCACCAAGAATAAGAAAAAATGTTTTAGAGTTTAATTCTATTCAAGAAACAATTAAGTACGATAATCCTCAATAAAACATTTTAGAAACTGGCTTCTTCTAAGGGTGACGGTAGCAGATCTCTCCAATGATAGCAGACCTTATTGTTAGGTGCCTATTAAGCCATCCTACCAGGGTCATAGTGTGAAGAGAGAAATATCATCATCTGAATTAAAATGAGTTTTTGAAAGCCCAATCAAGTTGATGAATATTGCAAGTTGATACTGGATGAAACTTCATTAGTTTTACAAGTAATATCCAAACCCTAAAAAGCAAACTGAGAAGAAAATGTTCATCAATGTCAGTGAATATAAGGACATATTGAGTTTCCAAAGAATATGATCCTTGAAGTTAAAATCCATGTTGTGGATTTGACACATCATCGGCAGTTATAATGTTCTTCTCAGTATCAATTGAAAACTGTTTAGCTCTCTGTTCAAATTTGACAAGCAAGATTTGAGATCAATATGGGAACATTCTGTTTACTTTTCAATTGAACTGTACTGTATTTCTTATGTTCTTTGACGTTGTTTGTTTATAGCAATGTAATGTTGACAAATGACAATAAATGGATTTTGATTCTGAATCGCCTCATGGAGTATATGAGGCAATGTTTGTATATGTAATTCACTCCATTTTATCAGATTTCTGCTCCAAGAATTCTGGGTCTGCAGCTGTATTTTGCCATCTTATATATGTTTTGGCTTAAAGAATCATGACGGATGTGGATGCTACATCAGGCAGAATGCTTTTCACGTGGCCAACGTGGTTGTGTGTTGTCTTACACATTCACAACAACAAATCCACAACTCAAAATTTCTTCCAGTAAAATAGAAGAAAATCTTCATTCCTCATTGAGAAGGGAAACACATTTTCTGCAAAACATGAATCAACATGTTGTAGACATTTGTGTGGATTCATGTGATAAACCATCGCATCGTTTCTATTTAAAATTTAACCATATTAAGGGGGTTTTCAATATTATTAGATTTGAAAACAGAAATTGCTAACTGGACTATCTATGATTACTTAAACTAACAATGGAGCGTTAAAACCTCCCATATTGGATAATTTTTTTGTAACTACTGAAATTTTTATTTTAAAATATTGTAAACTATAGGTTAACTCATGGCATGATTGGTGTTAGGTTTATAGTTTTTCCTTTGTTACTGTTTGTCGTTTATCCGTCTTTTATTGATATGATTTTAATATTAATTTTTTGTGATTTTCACCAAACCTTATATTTTATACTTATACTTAGATTTTAGACTTAGATAAATTTTAGTTAAAATCATGCAAGACTGATTTAAGTCACCGCACTTTAAAAATATAATTTCTTTTCTTGTTATTCACTAACACAATGTTTTTCAGGGCAAAGGCCTTGAATTACTATACGTAAGGTTTTTATCTGTAAGTTGAAATAATAACCTAATAATTATTACTTGTTTCTTTGCCCTCTCTAATCCAAGTTTATTTATTTGTCAAGTTATGTTGGGACTCTTCTGTCCTCCACTAACTTTACTTAAGTTTCTTAAATTTTTAGTTAAGTTACTTAAGTTTCTTCAACCACTTGGACATTACAGGCACCTTGCTTTTGGTTGGCCTCTCCCATACTATACTCATCATGTCATCTTACTCCCATCTTATTACTCCCAAGCCACCTAATAATTTTACTTCTTATCTCTACCACAATATCTATTCATCTCTACAGTTTCCTGAGTTCTCTATCCATCAGTGCCTTACTTTTTTTACCCCTTCATTAAATAAAAATATTGGTCCATAACAAACAACATCTTCTCAATATTATACTTTTAAATGTTGCTCTTCATGCTATTGTACGTAGCACTAGTTATATTATTTAAACAGTCTATTCTAGTTTCTTCACTTGACAGGAATTTTCTCTTCAATAACTATGTAAGCTCTAATTACATCTTCATTTCTAAATGACTTCTTGATCAGCATTGTACGTGTTATTAAATTACCTGAAAGCACAAAAAATATGTCAAATAACACTTATGATAATATATTTACGCTTACATTATTTAGTCACAAGACTGTAAATACATATAAATGATGGTAAGTGGTGATCGATTTTGATTGAACACTCCAATCATCATCAGCCCCAATAGGCAAAACATTTCCAATCGAAATCTATCACCACTTACCATCTTTTATATGTATTTACCATCTTGTGACTAAACGGTATAAGTGTAAATATATTATTATTAGTGTTATTTGACGTATTTTTGTGCTTTCAGGCAAGATTTCTAAATCCTAATTTCTGATGCTGCATTTAACCTCATCTGTATTTATTCTTCCATTTTATTTTTCTGTTTCGAGTAACTCCTATATATTAAAGTCCTTGAATTTATCAATCATTACAAATATGTATCCTATAACCCCAAGAGGGTTAATTACTGGACTCTGCTGCTCTTCCTATCTTTATAATATATTTTGCCTTTTCTACATTAATTTGAAGTCCTACTTCAAAAGAAAACTTACATACTCTTGGTCTATGAAGATACCAACCAACCATCTCAATATCAATATTCTACGGACAATGTGATTGTTAAACTGGACAAAGAAATCAAAAGCCTAAAAGTTGTTGGTTTAACAGCTGAATAGCTAAGTGGTTTGTGCTGTTCATCTAGGAATCAGAAGGTCCCTGGTTCGACCTGATAAGTCAGTTGCTTTCTGGGACTCCTAATTGGACCCAGCTGTCAGGCCTTCAATGTTCCAGTGTTAAAGACACATGAATCATCTTACACTCTATTCTACACTCATTGTACTATCATATTCACCCCATTGTGTGAATTTGACTCAATACACATGTGTGAATAGAATTTAATTCAAGCAGTTTTAAGTAAAGAATTTATTTTAAAATAAATAATTATTCTCTGTTTATGTGTGGTGTATTAGGTTGCTTATGAAACAATATTCCTATTCTAACAGTTAAAGAAAGGTTGATTGAACAAGTAATTATTAAAAGCCTTTATATTTGAAATCATACTCTTAAAACTAAAGTTTAAGTAGCTCTACTACATGTTTAATGAGATCGGTTAATTTTTTTAACAGCTGAACCTGTGGAACATACTGGGAGTGCTTCAACGAGATGCAATGACAATTTTGACCCCATGAGGTCCTATCCCTCCACAGCCAGGTTTTCAAATTCCACAATCGAGCCCCAAAAGGAACCAAGGCAAGAAGAGGTTATGGCAGCAATTGGTCTTGGACCTTCTAACTTTGAAAGAACCATACTCCAAGAGCCTACTGGTATGGATACAACAGGTATTTAATTTTATGTTTAACCACAATCAATATTTAAAATAACTATTTATGATAATTTCTAAAGCTTCAAATTTAAATGATTAAAATTAGAAAAATGAACGGACTGTTTGCCAAAAACATTGTATAAATTGTGACTATAAACAGTAACAGATCAACTTGTGCCAATTATAATTCTAGACTTAAACCCTAGCACAATCAACTGAAACAGTTCACACAATCAAGATAAGAATATTTGAGACGTAGGAATTGGCTAACTCTGGAACTCGCTAACTCGGTCGTGTGTCGGAACTGGCTAACCGCCTCAGTCAGGAATTCGCTAACTCCGGAACCCGCTAACTCGATTTTGTCTCGCGGCGGAATTCGCTAACTCTGGAAGTCGCTAACCCGGCCGCGCCCACTGCACGGAGCATTGCCAACCTTGTACAACGAAATAATCGTAGACTGCCGTATTTCAAAATGTCAGTGACAATGAAGTTACAGTAAATGTTATTGTTTTTTGTTATCAATTCCACTTTTAACAGATAACTAGCCCAAAGTAATTCAAAGACAATAAATTTTTTTTTTTTTTATTCAACTGTACGATGGCCAATTAAATGTTTATGGTTTCGATCTTTAATATAAATGCCATCAGTATAAAAAAAATAATAGAATATGAAAAATATTAAAAATTCAGTTTAATTGGTACTAAATAATTAAACCTCTACGAAATTCAGCTAAAATACACGCAAGTTCTCAAACACGGAAAACAAATTTAATCGTAATGTCGTAATAAACCAGAACCATTAATTAATACAGTCATCAACCACCGTAACTTTCAAACCCAATTCATAGATTTAAAATTAAATGTTCGTCGTTGAATCTTCCAACTTACGTGTACAAATATTACATAGACTAAGTTTCATATCAATTTATAGAATAGCTGTAGGCCTAAATCTAGGCCTAATAGTTTAAACCAAAGCATTGTAGGCCTAATAGTAAATAGTTGCCTAATTATAAAATGTGTTGAATTTTTAGTAATAATGTTACATGTTTTAAAATAGTTTTTAGATTGTACACCTAAGCACCACTAGTAAGTAATAGGGAAAGATATAATATTCATATAATAAAACGTGACAGGGTTATTTTAATTCACGATTCTTAATCAACGACTTGACGGATTTTCCTGATTTGAGTGTGGGGTTTCATTATATTGCTTTTACAATCGAAATAAACTATACCAAGCCATTGCTTGGTTCCCCGTTCCCCGGTACTAAACTACTCAATAGACAATAGCTTTGTTTTTGAATAAGATCAGGTAATTTTAGCTATGGCCACCATTCATAAAAATGGTAACAAACAAGAACGCCTGGGTCCATTTAGAACCGTAAACACTCAAAAGACTTTTAAAAAGTAGGCCTACTGAAAGACGTAAAATTAATATTAATTAAACAAAATTAAGAGGATGTCCCGGGTTCTACACTAAAAGCCTACGATAACAGAAATTTACAAGTAGTATTTATGCATAGACTAATTTTTATTGCAATCCATGAATACATTAGGCCTACCACTTTATAATGTATTGATCAATATTTATTTCAATTCAATAGCTCTATTTAAAAATACATTACCACTACAATGTATTTCTGTAATGATGTTAACATGTAAATTTTATCATGATTTATGATTCAATTTTATGATTCAAGGTTACAAGCCCAGTATATAAAATACTAACTTAATAATTTTATTAGCAGAAATTCACAAAATGGTATTTGTGAATAAAAGAAACAAATGGGGACTACGAAAATAGATATTTCATAACACGTAAAAGATCCAAATTACATGTAGGCCTACAGTATTATATTTTTGCATCCCAATAAACTACTATTTAAGCTCAACATGTTTAGCCTCTGAATCACGTAATTTACTAATAAAAGGTTAAATACCTGTAGTACTTGTCCGTGATCCTGTGTTTTTTAGTAAAGAAAAAATAATGAAGTTAACTATAAAATAATAGAAACACAATTTCGTCGACACTAGCGATCATTGTCACCGGACATGAACTAGACACAAAAAACTAGCTTCAAAGTTTACAATGGGATGTAAATTTTACTCGTGTTGGTTAGTTTATGGTAAGACTATAATGCATTTTCCACCTTAATAATCATAAGAATAATATTAAACATACTTCTAAATATATTTATTTTATCGACAACGTTGCTCTTACTCCTAATTATTCGTAGGATACGACATTATGGTACCGATACGATATAGAATAGGTACTACACTTTCGGCAACACTGACCAAAAATCTTCGTGCTTGGCTCCCATTGGACGGCCCGCGAGGCTTCTGATTGGGAGTTAGCGAGTTCCGCCGAGGGACCGAGTTAGCGACTTCCGTACGTGGACGGAATTCGCTAACCCGGCTCTAGAGCGGGTTAGCGGGTTCCGGAGTTAGCCAATTCCGAAACCGAACAAGTTAGCGAGTTCCTCTCATCGACCAAATTTGAAGATAGGGCGTTTAACATGGGGTTAGCGAGTTCCAGAGTAAGCCAATTCCGCGGACCCAAATATTTCACTATTACTCACAGCATTCTCAACCAGGAAAGGTTTTATTTGGGTTTTTTGGGCCCGGGTAAACAATTCAGGTAGTTTCCTTAGTAACAACACTTAAAAACAGTAAAACAGTATTGCTGTACAACTATTTGGCAATACATCTCAACGGCATTGTTCAAGGTCCTCTTTAATGATTACACCCTGCACCTTGTCTGCTTTAATGGTTTCTTCGAATTAATCAACAACCACTAGATTTGGCAAGACATAAATTGGACGATGATGGGTCAATGACACGTTCTGTCCTCATCCGTCTCCTGAAAACAGTGTGATTGCTGAATAGCCAATGAAAGGAGCATGACAGTCAGTGCAGACCCTGGTCACTATTGCATCAGTTTCTTCACCCCGTCTTCTCATTGCTGAAAAAAATATGCTTTTACGTCCCTTATATTTTCAAGCTTTTTAGTCTTAATCCTTTTTTTTTTTTCTGCAGGCTAAACATATTGTTGTGGAGTCTAGATATATTTTAATTATTCATAGAGCAACTCTTGCACAGCCATCTTGGTAGCCTCCTCCACTGCTATATGGTGGCAAGTAGCGCTGCATTGATCTTTTCACCGAAGACTTTAGCCATTGTTCTTCCGGACAAGTAGACACTCACAAGGAATACTGAAGTAAAGATTGAGTTTTCAAATCTTGATGTCATCTCTGGTTTCCGCTTGGATCAGGTTTTTTGGCAAGCAAAATATAAAAAATCTTAAAAATTATAAAATGAATAACCACATAACTTACAAGTATCAAAACAGACACCGAACAAGCAAGATTAAAAAAAATTTCACTAGCAACTAATCACAAAAAACACAGTTGTAGATAGATAACTCCTAGTCTAAAAATATAAATTTAGCAATGAACATGTGTGTGTTTAGTTTAGTTGTTTAGTTCCCTTCTCCAGATAATTGTTGTGAATATTGATAACAATTTCAATAGAGGGTGTACAATTTAAGATAGTTAGTTTTAGATATGTAGCTTAAAAGAGGTATTAAGTTTCCAAGTCATGGTCTTTATCATTTTCTATTTTCTTATTTTATCAATGGATTTATAAAATTCCCTTTGTTGATTACCAAATTCCTGTTGTTCCTTTTTATTTGATAGAGTTGTGTGACAACTGAACTTATTTAGCCTATTGAATCCATAGCATGTAATGTTTTTGTTACTCCACTGTCAATTTTCTTTGTGTATTGTAGTTTTTCTTTTTTTATGAAGTAATGTGAGAAATTTAAACTTTTTTCACTGTCTTCTTTTTTTCATCAATTGTAAAACTCAGCACTTCTAATCCCTTTAATTCATATTTTATTATACATAGTCAGCATTGATGGATTATCTATGTTTTGGATCAGTAAAATGTGCCAATTTGTTTTAGCCCCCAACAAAGGACTCCATTCAAAACCGTTTAGGGTACGCCAGCTTCGCAAACCTAAAAATAAGAAGGGTAAATATTTGCTTCCTTATTCCAGAGAACTATAGTGCAACCCCTAAACTGCAGTCTTAAATTGTGTAGGCCTTTGGTTAATTTTATTGTCTTGTATGTTTTTAGATACTTTCTGGTTATTGTACCTCACACTTCTTTGTTCTGTAGTTCTGTTGTTGTTGTTGTTGTTATCTTGGGATTGGACTGTTGATGTTTGTTAGTGTTCTTTTAGTTATCTCCTAGCTGGTTCAACTGTAAATGGGACTTCTAGCTTCTAGCTGGCTTCCATGTGTGGTTTGTGAAATATGTATTGAAAATCCAGTATCAGTTGATAACTTTTAAGTTTTTATTGATGCATCTAGGGTGCATTAAGAGAAATGCTATTGGTATTAATTTTATATTATTTTTCTGATACCTCAAAAAGTATTTGATAAACCACTTGAATTGCTAACACTATTTTCATCCTCTTGACTAAATGATAAAAGCCAAAATTAGATGTAAATGAAACACGAGTTTACTTTATTACTTTTACTATAGAAAAAAAAACTACCGAGCCATGGCTCAGTCCCCCGGTACTAAGACGTACTTTTGGTACATAGTACGATAATTATTATAATCTTAAGATGTTAATTATTTTAAATTTTTTTTTTTCATATTGTTTGGATATTTATTTAGTGACAGGGAGTCAAGAGTCCTATTCAAGTACTGTTCACATTCTGAAAAGTACTTCATTCGGCTAAATTATTTGCCATATAAATAACTATCTAGTCCTTAAAATTATATTGTTAAAACTGAAGCGCTCATTCCGTTTAACAAATTGTAGCTGTACGAGAAGCTCGGAGCTCGAGGCAGGATGTGTATCCTGTTCACTTGCCTTCAAAACAGATCAGTAGCCTAAGTCGTTTTGGCAACATTGAAGGCAGCCGAATGCACGTAAAATACTTAACCCTCCGAGTGTTATGTGTCGTAAAAGCGACTCATAACACATCCGCTGTAGTGTTATGTGTCGCTTTTGCGACTCACAAACACTGTTTACGGCGACGGCTCTGGGACTGACTGAATCGGATTGAACTGGATCGAGTTAGGTATAGTTTTTTTCAGCAGATTCGGAGCTTTCTCCTGATGTCTGTTTCTATACGCTTTTCATTTTAGTTTTGAAAATATTGTAGCAGACAGCTGATGTGCTTATTTGTAAACAGCTTGGTTAACCTCACACCGATGACTGATGTGTTTTATTACGTTTATCATTGTTTTAGTGTTAAAAATCAAAAGTAGTGATATACGTGGTGCATTATAAGAAGATTTAAGTGATTTTGAAGGGCTGGTTGATGATCCTCAAGAAGTAGGTAGTGATATTGATGTAAATTATCAGCCAGATTCCTAGCTATGGTTAGGCTATGCATTCTTAGCTAAACGCTATGTACCGAAATCTGTTTTTTGCCCATAACTTATTTATTTGCAAACCTACTTCCTTATATTATTATATTTTTGGAATCCTCATAAAATTCTGAACAAAGTGGCTATTTTAAAATATTTGTTGACCTATAAATTATAACAATTTATTGAGCGCAAACATAAATTTTTTCATTTATTTTATAATTTTTAAGAAATGTTAACCCCACAAAATTTTTTGAAAATTTTTTTAACACGTTCACTGCGTTGTATATTTTCCTGCATTATTCCAATGGTGCGATACGAGATCTATAAGTCTCGTCCGCTATGATTACCCAGGTGCGATACGAGACCCCGAGATTACGTTGCGCAGTGATCTTTTGCTCATCATAACCTCGCAAAGAAAAGAGAGAGAGAGAGAGCGTTGAGTGTTTGTTTATGTGAACCAGTACAATGTTGTCAATCTTCAGCCAGCCCAAGAAGTGAACATGACGTCATTGTACGAGACCCCGAGATCTCGTACCGCACAGCTGTAATAGTTCATTATTTATTATTTTCCTACAATAACAAATTAAGAAAAATATACGTTATCTGTTTATTTACGAATTCCTTATAATCCTAACCGTAGTAAAAAATATATTTTATCTTTCTATTATCACTTTTTATATTAATGCGTTTCCTAACGGCTGATTTCAGGCTAAATAAAATAAAAATGAAATATGTTTACAAATTACTGTATTTATTTCGTTATAATTTTGGGGTTGGGCAATGACCTCGAAATGAGTGCGTGCCACTGTGAGTCGAGTGGGTGGGGGAAGGGGTGGGTGCAACCTTGAAGCTATAAAGTCCACTTCCCTAAAGGGCTGGGAAAGGGGATTCCAATCGCAAAACCAAAACCAATGATACAAAAGTTGTTTATCGAAAATTCCTTGTCCAGTTTGACAATTATTTAGCATTGATTTTTATATGATTTAGTAGGGACCAGGAGAAATATTTGAATTAATGTAATGATTTGCTTTTTTACATCAAAATACAACATTGAACAATCGTGATATTTTAGGTCATTTACTAGTGACCTTTAATACGCATCCGTTAATGCTGTTTTAGAAGAGAAACACGTCGATAGTTAAAAAAGATTTATGTTCCCGTAGTTGAAAACGATTAGGCCTAATATATTGTAAACCTATAAAACATTAGATAACTCAGTAAGATAACAGCATAAAAACACCATTATTCTTTCTCTTTGTTCCTGGAATTATTTCTTGGATTTCCTTCTTTCATCCAAACATTCAACAAAGGTAGCCATAGTTACTAATATCCCCATTAGCTATACTCTCACATGTTACATGTTTTTGGTGGTGCTTGGAAAAACTATTTTTGATACGAGACCCAGAGGTCTTGTATCGTAATAAAGTAAAGGTTTATTACTTCAGTGCGTTACGAGATCTAATTATCTCGTCCATTTCATGTTTACTAGTTGATACATCAAGAAAAATGCATTATATATGTACAAGTTTCATTTCTTTACGATAACTGTATGCCGAAACATCAATGTCGTAACTTTTGGAAAGAAGCCAAATTATGGGTCCCGCACTACGGGCTATGTACGATACTAGACCTCGGGATCTCTTAGCGCAGTGAACGTGTTAATGTTTTATATAAACAAAATCTATATAAATAAAATTAGAGTTTTGTCTGTACATTGCTTAGAATAATGAACTTTTTGGTTATTTTTACATTTCATAGGTCAGAGAAACCGAATCAAACCTTATCTCAATTTCTGTCTGTCTGTCTGTCTGTCTGTCTATCTGTCATTCTCTTGGTAACGCTAAAATACGCACTTTATTACAACTACTCCTCAATAACTATAGCACTGTCCCGCCTGAAACTTATTTTCCAAATACTATACATATATGAGATGGTTTTAGACGTATTTCATCGAATATGAGACAGTTAGATATTTAACAGTAAACCCTTGAAAATCAAGTTTTTGTCGATTTTTGACGTGGAATTTCTGGAAGCCCATGTTAACCTTATGAGAAATGAAATTATTGAATCTTAACAGCTGTTTCAATTAAACAAGTTGGTTCTGTTCTGTGATGTTCAATAGCATTAAAGTTACAAGGATTACCAACAGGGTGCAGCACTAGCACTATTATTTCTTTTACATTTATGACAACAGCTAATTTGCAACCTGGAGGCGAGTGAGCGTAGCGAACGAGCTAACCTGAAGGCAAGTGAGCGTAGCGAACGAGCTAACCTGAAGGAAAGTGAGCGCAGCGAACGAGCTCCAACATACAGGTGAGTGAGCGTAGCGAACGAACTTCAACCAGGACGTGATTGAGCCATGCAAACGAGATCAGATAGTAAAAATAAAAGTAAGCCTACCGTTATAGGATCGACCGGCAGACACAGAGGTAATTTAACCTTTTATTGATTGTCATACCGATCCGGAACAACAAAAAACAACATAAAATGAAGCTATGTATAATAGTTTGGCCAGCATATCTTAAAATATGCAAACCAACTGCTGTTCGTTATATAAGAAGGTTTCAACTGAATATTATAAGATCCCCGTGCGTAGAACGGGTACACAGCTAGTGATATATAAAACAGTATACTTTACATTGTTTTTAAGTTTCTAAGATACATTTTAATAAAACCCTGCGATTGCGCAATAAATGGGCGAACAATAAGACCAAAACTAGAGACACTTGGAGGGTTAAGGAGTATACTTCTGACAGTCACATGGAGGCCAGATATACATGGGAACGCCATATGAAATGTAAACTGAATGCAGCCATTTTACACACTTTTTGAAACGCCCATTTATGAGAAAAAAATTTATAATGTTGATTAACAATCATGTTAGTTATGTCTTTTAGAGGTGACATCCGCTTTAAAACTTAATATACACTTTTTGTTCTGGTGGCAGCTACATAACCTGAATTCTGATTGCAGCTATTTAGATAGCGGGATGTATATACATACATATATATATACATATACCGGTAAGTACAAATTTGAACGAATAGTGTATTTGGCCTTCAGGGACGTCAAAATGAAAATGTATATCGATCCCGGCTCCATGTCTTACCGTGCCACCTACAGTAATAGCTACTTCCCTGTAGGGAAATTCGCTAAAAGGGATGGCAATGCCTTACAATTTTTATCTTTTGTTCTATACCCACACAATCTAACATAAATTATTAAGTGAATAATAATCGTGCGTGCTATCTCAGATATTCAAATGCCTCTCAATTTGTCATTAACCCACCACATTAGGCCTACTGTCATTAAAAGAAGGAACTCCAATGATACTAATGCGAAACTTAAATTCACCCAAGCTGTGCAACGGAACCAGACTGACAATTAAAAAATTGACACCAAATTTGATCGAAGCAATAACCATCAGTGGTAAGTTTAAAGGAGAAATAGTCTTAATCCCAAGAAAACCTATGATTTCATTCGAATTACCCTTTGAATTTAAGCGACTACAATTGCGTCATGCTTTTGCAATCACCATTATAAGGCACAAGGGCAATCCCTGACTATCGCCGGTTTAAATTTGGAAAACGAACACGTGGACAGCTGTATGTTGTGAGCTCACGTGCTGGTAGTTACGCCTAAAAACTTATATATTTATACACCTAATGAAAAAACAAAAAAAAAACATTGTTTATCCACTGGGAGTTAAGTAAAATGAATATTTTACTTTTGTTTTTGGTATACATTTTTATTATTTGTCATAAAGAACAAATAACCATTTACTTCCATAAAAATCTACCAATAAAATAATTTCATAGATCAAAAGGGCTTGCTTTGTTCTATATTGCAAGCAGTCTATTACATTGTAATCCTAATAAAAAGTTTACTACACTCTAATGAAGAGAAAGTATTTTTTAAAGTATTCATAGTCATGTTATTGATGGTTGTTGATAAAACTTTTGCACATTTTCCAGACGATTCCACTAACAAATCAGAAGAGGATACTTTGCCAAACTTTGATCCTATCTTGTTTCCATTCAAGAAGATCAAGCTTCCCGCTCCACAAACTCTGACACCACCATTATGTTCTGTTGAAGACGTCGTGCCAATTTTGGGTAAATATTCAGGTTTTTAGATGTGTTAGGGGGACAGAAAATTACTGGCTTTGCTTTAAGATTTGTCTTGCTTTCTGTATCAATTCAGTCCTTAGTTACAGCCTGGAATGTCATGACCTCTTTTAGCAAATTTCACCTGTAGAAAAATTTATTTCCATTGGTAGCATTGTGAGACCTTTTTTGTTTAGATATCACGTGAGATCAAAAACAATATTATTCAAAATCATTTTCTCCCCGAGTTATCGTTCGTTTTGTCAATGAGCCATCACAGCAGATATTTCTGATTCTTTCTGGTTGGCTCTTGTAATAAAACAACTTAAACACAGAACAATTTGTCAATTTACAAATACAAAGAGCAGTTATCTGATTAAGTATATTACACGTGTAAAATGTAATTTTTCAACTAGCTTATATGAGAAACTAGTTCAGAGTTTAAAATTATTTAAAATAAACACTGAAAGGTCACACGGTACAACGCTGATATTTTATCCTAATATAGAACTTCTTCTGTAGTTTTGCACTTTAACTGTCACCAATCATTTTAGCCTCTGGATTGCTTATTTATTGATTGATTTGAAATTAATTTTGGATCAATGAAATAGGATTGCTGAGGTAAGGCCTTGTAATATCAACTTTAACTGTCATTTTTCTTTTCTTCTCTTCAATTCTAACCCTTAAAAAACCTCGAGTTAGCTGTATGAAATCTATATAAAAAGCTATGAAATTTTTGTATTTTTTAAAATTTACATAATCCAATGTAAGATATGATAAGAGGTTCTGTAGTTAATTTATGTAGATATTTGATCACTTGCATGGTAAAACAAAATTTGTTGCAGAGTTTGTGTGTGGCCTCTCCCATGATGTATTATCATATTACGGTCAGTAGCATTATGGGTAATTCTTATCTTAGGTATGCTTCTTCAGTCTTACATCAAAACAAAGATAAATGTGGTTTTTTCAGTTGCACTAAGTGAGGTAAATTTGAATCTCACTTTTTTAAAATTTAGTATGAAATAACAAGTTTTTCAAATTCAAAATTCAAATCAATTTTCAATTTTTTTAGTCTTAAACAATTCTAACATCACCATACAAACTAAAAAATATTGTTGTCTAGTATGCAAAAAAAGGGAGATTGGTATTTAATTTGGTTGAGCGAGACTTAGAAATTACTATTACTTGAAAGCTGTAAATGCCATATGATCAGTGAGCTTAAGAACCATACAGAAGATAAGAAGTTAGATAGTCATTTGTTAAAATTCTTATCTATTAAAATTCTTATCTATTAAAATGTACTAGTAGTCATCCAGTGGTCAAAAACTCGTCCAAAAATATTTAATGTACAGGCTTCTCTATTCTCACCCCAGCTGTAAAAATAACATGTACAGTAGACCCTCTCTAATCCAGCACTTCGCCACTCCATTATTTTTAAAATTTTATATAAAATTGATTATTGTAATCCAGCATCTTTTGACAGGGGAGATCTACCGCAATCGCGGCCAAGTTTCTGATTATCTCTCATGGCCAAGTAGGCTTCATCCACTCCCGCGGTCATGGACACGTCATCATCGTCTTGCGCAATAGCGCCAAAATCATGAACATCTCACGTAGCCGTTTAGACATAATCATTTCCTCCCGAATTCACGTAAACGTCATTGTCATCTTGCGCAATTGTGGCAAAATCATGAACATCTCTCTTGGCTATTTAGACATTATCATGGGCTCCCGCGGTCACGGAAACGTCATCGTCGTCTTGCGCGGTTGCGGCAAAATCATGAACATTTCTTGCGGCTGTTGAGACATTACTGTTCTCTTCCTCGATCATCATCCACTCCCAGGGTCACAGAAACGTCATTGTCGTCTTTCACGATCGTGTCAAAATCATGAACATCTCCTGCAGTCGTGTAGACATTATCGTTTTCCTCCACAATAGCGGCAAAATTCTGATTACCACCTTCAGCCAATAGTTGTTATCATCGCCTCCCACGGTCACATAAACGTTATTGTCGTAATGCCCGATCGCGGCAAGAGCGGTTTCCATTCGTGTGATCCTCGGAGACGTGTTTTAAGTGCTAAAACGCACTTGTTGCAGTGTATTTATTGATAACATTCCAGTAATCCGGCATTTTCACTAATTTGGCAGTATCACGGTCCTATATGTGACGGATTACTGAGAGTATGCTGTAATAATTGTAATTTCTTCCATTTGTTTTTATTTTCTGTCTATATTAGCGAATTTCCCTATAGGGAAGTAGCTATTACCGTAGGTGGCACGGTAAGACCTAGACCCGGGACCGATTTACTTTTTCATTTTGATGTCCCCAGAGGCCAAAAACACGATTCGTTCAAATTTTTATATATGTATATATATATATATATATATATATATAGACATATATATATATATATATATATACGTCCGTGAACGCGATAACTTGAGTAATTTTTGTCCGATTTTGATGAAATTTGGTTTAAAGGTGTAAAGCGGGATAAACTTGAATGAGTTCGCGAACCAGCATGATCGGACCATGGGAACGGGGCTTTACGGGGGGTTTTATGGGGTAAAAATTGGTTTTTCTCACTTTTGACCCTCAAAACACAAACTTTCCCAATTTCTCTTTAGACCTTTTTAAAGAGCTTAAAAAAACAAATAATTTAGTATATGAAAGTATTTTTGTTCAATTATTAGTAACGGAGAAAATTTAAAAAATTGTAAATTTAAAATTCCCATGTTATTCTTATGGAGAATATTGTCAAATGTTGTAGTTTGCTTGTTTATGAATATATTTTGATCAAACTTGGCAAATTTATTTATTTTCTACTAAGCTATCAATATTTTACTCAAAAACACACTTTATTAGTTTCCTTGTAGCAGCAAACCTAGGTACTCGTTAAACCTAATGTTATTAAAATATATTTAACTGAAAATCAATTCAGACAAATGGAAATTCGCTTAGTCGGCAGGTTTGCTGCGGCGGGGGTATTTTTTGGTTATTTTGTCACGAGCATGGCAACCCGTAAGGCCCCCATGTTAACTATTTTACATTTCAAATGAATTTTTGGTGCTTATTTTTGAGCCTATTTTAATTTATAAAGGTATTCTGCACCTCTTCAGGAAAATGTTTAATATTTTTTCAATATGTATGAAAAATATAACAACTTAAAATTAATTTAATTTGTTATAAAGAAACATGTCTAAGTCGCAATGTTACTGCTGTGTTTCCCAGGTGATGCGGTTGGTAGCCATCAATCTACGGATTCATCTGCTGAGGCTACGGCGCAAGGTTTTTACTCAAAAGTTTTAAAATTTAAACAATTTTTGTTAGAGAATTTTTGGGAGACTTTGTTTTGCAATCAGGAAAAAATCCCATGTAGCATGAAATTCTATATTGCTTTCCTCTTTAAATGTTTTAATAGTAAAATTTTTTATGCTAGCATCAGAATTATTAGTACTACTCATAAGACACCTAGATGTTGGACACCTCAGAATTGAACTAGTGTCCAAATTAAGAAATGTCTAAACTGTAAAAAATCAATAATGGAATGCAGCAATATCATCTGCATATCAAACAACCCTAGCCAAACAGGTTGAGTTGTAACTGGGCTAGTCGTGTGGATAAAAATATGTCTCTATTGTAGCGAAAACACATAAACCACACAAGCATTTGCATGGTTACATTGACTTTGGATATGGTACCAAAGTCTGAATCCCAATTATATGGACCAGCTGTAGCAAGTTTTTATTAAAAGTGAACATATTTAAATAAGCTTGACAAAAAAGTGCTACTATGAAGTTATATTTTCTCACTGTGATAATTAATTAGTTGTTGAATACATAAAACATGCTATAACTTACAATCAGATGCTATTTCAGTTTGGTGTCGTTAAAAATTTGTGTATAAAAAATGAAACTGTTTTACATCCATACATTCTGTTGCTAGACCAATTTGAATGAAATCAGTTTTTATTCTAATAAGGGAACATTTTCTAATTGCATGTTTAAAATATTTCTGAATAAAATTATTTATTTGATTTCATTTTTATATATTTTTTTATAACTTTTGCAGATATGGAATCTTCAGATACTGCTACAGGTGTCTTCTCTCTCAGCCAAAGTGATCTTTCTGCCAATTTGGGGACTGAAGGTAAAGGACTAAGGTGTTTCATTAGTCAGTTTCTCCTTTTGAAATATTTTGAATAGCAGTTAGATACAAATAGATTATAAATGGGTATAGAGGTGTGTGTTGCAGCTTTTTTTTATTTGATACATCTATGCAATTTAAAGAATTTCTATTCGGAAATATCAGTTGGAAATGGATTATTCCATAGTGAATTATCTCAGTCCATACTCCATACTGCCCAATAAATTATATTATTTGGTAACAAGACTTTAAGGATTTTGTTGAGAATAAGTTGAACAGAAGGCCTACCTTACTGATCTAAGTAGTTGTAAGTACAAGAATGGACTACCTACTCCTTCTCCAAAGAGTCTTTCTTCTTGTTGTATGTTTGTTATATGTTGTATGTTTCGTGTTGTGTACATTAAACTATTCTCGTCAGCAAGGTAAGCCTACCCACCAAATGAGTTAAGTTACAATTAGGTAAATAACAGTTTCGCTTTGATGACACATGTACAACCTGTTGTACAACTTTATTTGACATCTTATTCTGTTTAGGTCTATCAAGTCTGAACAGCAGAGTGGGTCAGTCCCCCCCACTCTCTCCTAGCATGTTGTTTCCTGAGACTCCTCGCAGCAGCAGACAGTCCCCGTCCGAGGAATCATCTGGTACGTGTAACTCGCTGAAAACTGATCCGCTAAACTAGTGAACGGTTTTAGCGAATCTCGATCAGTAACTTGAAGCTTGTCTGCAAGTGTCTCCGAGCTCCAGTAGCGACTAAACTTGTTGGAAGTCGTGATAACAAAACAGTCTTTTAGCAATGAATAAAAAGCAGTTGCAGCAAATGTTCTTTAAAAGAGATATTGAGATTTTAAAACTAATTACTAACTAGGCAAAGCACGACAATCCCCTAATGAATCTTTACCTACAATAGCGATTATAAAAAACTTATTACACTTAGTTCATAGAAAACTTATGTTTAGTTCAATTTTATCTTTCCATAGATAGTTGGTCATTATGGAATTGGGTATTACAGTCAAAGCCTACCTCTATCTATGCGAAAGTTAGTTTCGTTGTACAGTGGAACCTCAATAAATTGAATCCCAAGGGAAACAGGGATATTTTGAATTATCAAGTAGGCTACTTTGAATAATGAAGGTTCATCCTCTCCAAAATTCAATTTATAGAGGTTCATTTCAGTGCAAACCAAAACATCAGGAGAATTGATTGCCTTCTAAAATATAGTGTTATGTACGTTGTGCATTGTATTGGAAAAATAATGCAATAATTATAAGATTTAATACTTTAAAATGGAAGAAGTACTGCACAACTCCCGATTAACCGGGATAAAGTAGGGTTTGGCTTCCCGGATACGTAAAATCGCAGTTAACCCACAAAACTATTGAGTAGGAAATGGTTTTAAAATACATGACAGTTTTAAATTATGGTAATTAACAAATTTATAAACATTAAAACCTAACTGAATGTTTTATTTGACAGGAACAACAATGAATAACACACTTATTTGAACACAATGACACCTGTAAATACAAAGAGATCCTCAGTCTTTAGATCAAATAAAATATTTACATAAAATACATAAACTACCGTGAATTAATTTATTTTTAAATAATATATTACAGTTTTCTGTTTTTGAACAAAGAAATATCTCTTTATGACCTTACTACAGTAGAACCTCGCTAATTTAAATTTCAGAGGAAAGCCAATATATTTTGAATTATAGGAAGCTTGAAATATACATAGAGAGTTTGAATTATAGAGGTCAGAATAGATAAAATTCGAATTACAGTAGAACCTCAATTACTCGAACCTCAATATCTCGAATTCCTCAATATCTCGATTTTTTTTTAAATCCCCTTGAAATCCACATTAATCATAATGTTAAAAGTACATTTATAAGTCGAAGTTTCTAAATATTTATAACCTCAATAAGTCGAATTTGAACAACTTTTGAACAATAACATTCTACCTCTATAACTCGAATTTTCCCGTCATCGAGCCTCAGTAACTCGAAGTTTACCTTTATAAGTCGAAGTTCGCATGAATGTGCCTCAATAATTCGAAGTTTTGCCTTAACAGTGCGAGTCAGTTGTGTCTTGATTCCTGTCGAGACGTGAAAATCGATCTTCCTGTGTTTGCTTCCCGTGTCTGTTTGGCTAGGCACTGATGTAGTCACTAGTCAGTGTAGTTTGCCCGTTTTGCCAAAGTAGATTCAGTAAATAACTACATTACGATGCATTTTGTTTAGTACGGTAATTCAATCACACTAGAATTTTCCCTTTAAATATTACTCTCTACAGTCTAAATACTTTTGTATGTACAGTATTGTACCTATTCAGTATTTTTGTTGTTACAGTAGCTTGTTTTTACAGTACATATAAAGAGTTTGACTAACGTTTTCTTTAAACAAACATTATACACAGTAAATGTAGTTCCGTTTATGGATGATATATACTGTATTATTGTTTTGTACAATATTTAAACTATTTTTTTTGTCATTTAACATGTTTTTTATGTACTTTATCAAACTTATTGCCAACTAATAAATACAGTACTTTATGTGTATTCAAATAGTTTTATTTTGCTTCCAAAGTTACTCCTCAGTACGTATAAAAACAGTTAGAGTTCGATTATAAAGGTTTAACACGTATAAGTCGAGTTATAAAGGCCGTGACGTAACATCACTGTCAGACCCCAACACCTCAGTATCTCGAACTTTTTCAAATGGAACCTTCATAACTCGAACCTCACTAACTTGAAAAACTTGATAACTCGAATTTTTATCATAACCCCTTCAGATTCGAGATATCGAGGTCCTACTGTATGGAGGTCCCAGTTTTAAGTGTAGAGAGTTTGAGAGAACGGAGACTAATAAACACAGTGTGGGAACATCAATAAGAGCGCCAGTTCATGTTATGCGTATATTTTGTTCTAAATTCGAATTACAAAGGCTTACGGTAATGCAGTTCGAATTGTAGAGGTTGACTTCGAATTTTGTAGGTAACAATTTGAATCATGGCAACAAAATTTGAATTGTAGAGGCTCAAGTATGTGCAAATTCTAATTGTAGAGGCTGCATTAAGCATATAAATCACTTTGAATTATCGGTATATTATTTCTCGAATTTCAGAGGTTTTCTGAGGGGAACAGTCAAACATTTTTAATAATAAAGGATTTTGAATTATCGAGGTTCGAGTTAGCGAGGTTCTACTGTATCATGTTCATGTTGTAACACAATTTTGTCTGCAATTGAAGCATTGTATTGCAAACGGAGTAAGAGGGGAGGCTGGTGACAGTGATTCATGGTTTGTTTACAACCTACTTCCCTTCCTTCCGAGAAAAAGACACTGCAGTTTCTAAAACATAGATCGCAACACAAGCAGAAATTGGACAGTATAAAGGGTTGGTAATTCATGTCGAAACAAGATGCAGTAAAATGTAAATGAAGTGCTATGATGTATATAAGAGGTTCCAAGTCTACAAATTAGCTTCCTAAAGAATTATTTTAAGTTTTTGAAAAATAACCATGTTTTCAAACTTATACAGCAATACCTCAATTACCACCTGTAAATGGATTTGAGTAGATAATGTTATTTTCGAGTTCTGCATTAAATTTTGAATAAGAATAATAGAAAAAATGACGGAGGATCAGTAGTAAAAACTCCATTGTAGATTCAAAGATAAAAATTAAAGTGTTAGTTTAAAAAAAAAACAAACATTGGTTTATTGCATTTTTCTATACCCTGTATACAAGAAGGTGGCCAAATATGTTAAAAACTGCACCATTTTATAAGCTTTTCAACCATGTGCTACGAGTATTGAGGTTTAGATATGCGTTTGTTTGTTTTAGTGGTTTGAATACTAGAAAACAGGGAACTTTTTTACTGTTTTTATTGTTCAAATTGAAAGAAAAATACAAGTTTTTCTTAATACGTGCCGAATTTCTATGTGTTTTTAATGTTAAAGACACCATGTTTTGTCTTCAAACCACTAAAGTGTACATAAGCAGACGGAAAACTCAATAGTGTAGCGTATGGTTGGAAAGCTTATAAAATGCCGCAGTTTTTAACATATTTGGCCATCTTCTTGTATACAGGGTGTAGACAATGGTTTTTAAAATGTTTATCAAACACCTTATTTTATCTTTGGATCTATTTACAATGGAGTTTTTCCTATTGATCCTTCATCGCTATCTTATTTTTTTAATTAAAAAATTAATGTAGAACACAAAAATTACATTATCTACTGAAATCCTTTTACAGGTAATTGAGAAATTGCTGTATTAAGTTTAAAAACATGGTTATTTTAGAGAAATCCTACCTGTTAGAGAAACCCTTCATCGGTTTGGCAATTTTTCATTTCATTTCAAGTCTACTATTGTTGTTTTAGGTCAAAACATCATTGTAGAAGCCAATAACAACACGGTGGACTCACTGCAAGAAGATGGCGCAAAGAAACTTAAAGCTTTTGGAAAAAGGTTGTTAAGATTGGAAGCACGTGACAGATACAGAGGCAAGCAATTGGCCAGAATGGAGAGAGCGAACCAGAAGAGATTTATGAAGACGCAATATATAGTAAAGGACATTGCAAAGACACAAAGAAAATTGTTATTGCAATTTACAAAGTTTGTGGACGAAAAAAATAAAAAGTAGATCCTAAAAGTCTCTTCACGTTTTCTCTGCATGAGAGTTTATCCAAAAAGACAATTATATTTCACATGGAATCAATTCTTTAATTTCTCATCATATTTTGCCAATCATTTAATTTGAATCATTTAGTTTTTGTTGGTGAAGCAGGGGTTTTCTTACAAACATAGTTATGCATAAACATTTTTTAAATCCTTTTTTGACAATCTTATTTTTAGATCTGGTTAGTATTAGTGGTATTAGTTTATCTCAAAGAGATTGTTTTATATCGGATCACTTAGAACAACATGCTTTTTCAGTTTTCTTTGGTTAATGTAGTCAAATTTATGGCTAAAACCTTTTTATCTTTAGTATTTGTAACATATAGTTGAGAAATGTCACAGCCATTGTCTACTTTTCTGTTGCATAGCCCTACTGTAAAAATCATTTTGACGATTTTTTAAATTTAGTCATATACAAGTACCTAATAATTGTAGTTACTAAGAATTGGTGTAAATATTTGCATTAATGCGATCAAATATGTTGCTAAATTGCAACCGGTTTCGACTCACATAGGAGTCATCGTCAGGCCAGTACAGATGTCTTCTCGCATCATTCAAAGGTCGTAAATTCATAATAAAGAAATAAATAAAACACGCACATGTACACGAACATAAAAACAAACATTTAGGGTTAAAAACTAAGGGTAATACTGCAACGACACCGGACACGAAATTTTTTTTATTTAATTTTTTATTTGGAAACCTATTTTATTATAATACACTTTGCCTATTAGACACAGTAACAATAAACTTAAAATTATGATCTAAATAATAAGTAACTTAGATTAGTAATGTTGTCCATATAAATTTGATCATGTAAATGCAGGTATTTAAATTCTGGAGGATAGAACTCAATATAACTGTAATTACAATTGTTTTAGTTTTAGTAGTCTACTTTAACGTTCTCGTTAATGTGTTTGGTTGTATTGTTCCTGTTTCTTTTTATGTTAAGTTTGGTTACCACTTTTTATTAGTATAAGTGTTTTACGCAGAGTGATTACTGGCAAACTGTTTGTATTTGCATTTATTCTCATACAAGTTAAGCATATTATTATACATTCCATGGTATGTTTATATTTCTTATAATAAAAATTCATTAAAAAATTGAACTTTTGTATTGTTTGCTTTTTGAAATACGTTTTATTACTGAGATCTTCAAACAAAACCTGGTTACAACTTTGGTTTTTGTACAGATCACTCTGTCTTGTATTATATTGTTAAAATAGAGTAGTCAAGCTGTTCAAAGTTTTTATACCTTAATATTGTATTTTGAAATACATTGTTCTTTTCAAATGATTCATTTACTTATTGACCTTCGTAGTAAAAAAAAATACCTTAAGCAAGAATACAAACCATGTGAATAATAGGGATTATACGGTTACACTTCAATCCCTATAGTGGTTCCGAGGGTAGAATCATGTCACATCCCTAACATAGGGCCGATTATGTTGTGACCTCGTTGCAATGGGTAGTTATCTCCTGAGCAGTTGTTTAATTAAATTAACTTGCTGAATAATACTACAAATGAATATTATGAAAGAAGATCATATGGTGTAATCATTTTCAGTACTTGCAACAGGCCGTATTTAGAATCTATGAGGCCCCCGGCGGTTCTCACCAGAGAGGCCCCTCTCAATACTCTGATTCTTCAAAGGTTGGAACTTAATTGTTTAGAAATGCACGAGGTATTGCTTCAACTCGATGAAATGACCTTTTGTTTCCAACAATCTGATTGAAAAAAAGGAGACTAGCTAATAAATAAGTCTATTAATTTTTTGCGTGAGCACTGACACATAATCTTAATCTCCTTCGATCACGTCGGAATTATGAACGACTCATGTGATCGCGGAGAAATGGTGAACATCTTGCGTGAGCGCTGAGACGTCATCTTTCTCTCCTCTGATCGCGAAGGAATCGTGAACGACTCATGTCGCCACGGAGAAATGGTGAACATCTTGTGCGGCCGTGTAGGTAGACATCATCATCGTCTCCCGCGGTCACGAAAAAGAGATCGTCGTCTTGCGTCACAGTAGCAAAATCATTAACATCTCCTGCGGCGGCGTAGACATCATCATCATCTCCCGCGGTAACGAAAACGTGATCGTCGTCCTGCGCGATAGCGGCCAAATCATGAACATCTCCTGCGGCCATGTAGGTAGTCATCATCATTGTCTCCCGCGGTCACGATACAATCATGGACTTCTTCCGCGATGACGGATGAATAGTGACTCCTACGCTATGGATAATGCAAAACAGTGGCTGGCTGCTTGCCGGCATTTTCCTGATTTCCATCTGTTGTAGGGGTTTGTGCCAGGACAAACAAGTCCTGTGTGGTTTTCACTTAGAATTTGGACGGTCACCAATGAATGTATTTTCTACTAACCCTATTTATTTACAGTTTTAAATAACTCAAAACTAAAAAAAAACTTCTGTAAATCCATCTAAAGAAATTATTATTGTGGTGCATTGTAAAATATCACAATTTCAATTCACAAGTTATCCTCTGTCGGTTGCACTATATCTCTCAAATACATTTTTCCTTAAAACTTTCTTTGGGTAGGCCTACCTACTTTAGACATATATTTTCCCCATTTTTTATTTTACTTTATATAACAACTCTTGGCCTATAGATTTCATACATACTTCACATCGTTTCATTTCTCAATTAGTAAAAAAAGTTGTCAGACCATAGACATTCTTGTATCCATTAGATACAATGCGACCATGCCTGTGTAAAATCAAATTGGGACCAGTGCCACTGCATGTAAAATTGAACTCGATGTTTTCTTTTCTGGGTAAAAACACTTATTTATTTCTATATATTTAATGAAATTACTTAATTTTTAATGATATAACAGAGACATATCACATAAAAACGGTAGCACTGTATCTATCAGATACAACGGAGTAAAACAAGGCATGTGTGCACGGGACGACGTTAACAGCGATACTAGGTGTGTTGGGGTGAGGGGATGAAACGGCACAATTGCCAAGACTGGTTTTGGGACGAGGACTTGAAATGGCAATAATTTTCATGTTGCGGTATCTAATAGATTAGTTGCGACCGACAGAGGGTTAAAGAATGATATTTAAAAGGATTATTTAAAGGTCTGTTAAAAATATCAAACTAAATTGAATTTTAATTTTATTTTTTAAATATATAGATACTTTATTTATTATGTAACAAAATCTATCTAAATCCTAACTATATGTTATCCAATAAGACAAGCTAATAAATTTCATTTCTTGTCATCATCAATATCATCATTATCGTCATCATCATCAAGATCTTCAACTGTATCGATGATTCTTCTTTTCAGATCTTCGTAGCTTTCAGAATTCTGAAAAAAACCAAATTATTATGGTAAATAAATTAACCGGTAAGTTGGTATGTTAATAATCAGAATAGATTCTACTCGTCTAGCAAGTCTTCAAATTAATAATAAAGATAAGCATATTTTGTATTGTCTAGTTCAATACATAACCCTCAATTTCGTGTAGTGCTTGTTTACATAACCTTGAACATTAAGTTATAACTTTTGCATTGTTATGTGGGTTTGCCATAGCCGTTTTGCTTCTATTATCTTTTAAAATTTTGTTGATGGTATTTAGAAAATATAATACGGAAAGTAAATAAAAGAAACGTCTTCTAACATGAATTAGGATGCTTGCTTAAGAGAAAGGTGTGCAACTTACCTTGGAAATACAGCAGTCAAAGTTAAGCCTAAAAGATACAAAGCATAGTTAGATAGGGTGCATAGAATTACAGTGCTTCCAACTATCTCATAATAATTTGTAAAGTAATATGTAAAAATCACTAAATAGGGTGCAATCAGACCTAAATCTCAACATCTAGAGTGAAAGCTAACTTTTTTGACTCCAAACCGTTCAACATAGTCTTCCCCGTATTGTATTGTACACCATTTTGAGAGTCGAGTTAGGTGGGGAGGGGGTTTAAAGTTGAAAATATTTATAGTTTTTTTAGCGCAAAACTACATTTTTTGATAAATTTTAAATAAAAATCGTTCTTTTCATAATCTTTTTAACGTCAATGGTTACAGAGTTACAAAAGTTCGAAATGGACATTTTTCGAGTATTTTTACGCTTAAAAAATCCCCAGACAGCTAAATATTTCAAAAAATGATACAAAGATATAACTACATAACTTGGAATAAAGTCACTGGACATAAAAGATTTTTTTTTAATCATTCAGTGATAGGCTACCTTCTCAGGGGAACGGCCAGCTGGGAGTCAGAAGAACATCTTTAAGGTAAGCATAGGTTTGTCGCAAATCTGAACTAAAACGGACAACTGAGTAAAAAATAGGCACCGTTGAAAGATTAAAAATTGCAAATTTAAACTAGTGTTTTCTTTCAATGGCTTCCATTTTTGACTTAGTTGAAGCAAGGATAGCATAAGCCTTTAGAACCCTTGCATGGCGTTTGGCCGAGAATGAAATTTAGTAGTTTCAAGAAGAAAATTACATGAAGCAGAGAGGCAATGTTTTAGAGAGAGTAAATAGACTCAGCATTTTTAACATAATTAAAACTGTTACAATATAAAATCTTGGTAAATGTACCTGAAGGATTGTACAATAAATTTGTTGAATTAAGCTTAGATGAAGCACCCTTGGAGGGGCGAAATATCAAATTCATTGTGTGATTAAATTTTATTTAGTGTGCTATCAACTGTCACCAAGCAGAGTTCTGTTACCAACTCCTTCGTCCAGAATGCATTCCTAGGCAAAGTACTATTTCCTCTAAAACAACCAATCAAGATTCATGCCATTGTTAAGTACAAGATTCGACAGTGTGCCATTAAAGAGGAACTATTCAGAGTTACCTCAAGTTTTAATCATTGACTTGTGGATATTAAAGTAGGTATTCCATGCCCATTGTTATAGTTGTAGCCGATTTCAAATGAAAATGAACGATGATTTCTCTCAAATACGCCAGCGTTTCAACCAAGCCAATTAAAAGGAAACTTAATGTACACTCTCATGAAATATTCTTGGCCGCCGCTGGTTCATTATAGTTGGGGTGTCTACTCATCAGCATGTCAATCATTTGAACTGTGTAAAGTGTTTCTGAGAGTTTAAATAACTTCTTGATCAACATTGTACATGTTATTAAATTTACAGAAAGTAAATCAAAGAAACGTCAAAACATATATTTACACTTATACTGTTACTCACAAGGTAAACATGCATAAAAGATGGAATGTGGTGATCGATTTCGATTGGACACTCCAATCATCATCAGACCCAATAGGCGAATGAGAGACATTCATCAGACATACGTCTATAGGGTCTGATGATGATTGGAGTGTCCAATCGTAATCGATTCCCACATACCATATTTTATGTATATTTACCGTCTTGTGAGTAACAATATGCTTAAATATATGTTTTAAGTGTTTTTTTATTTTACTTTCCGAGGTTTGATCTAAGCAAAGTGTTTTTAAGAGTTACCGTCCACATGTCCGTGTCCCACTCTGGGAAGAGCCGACGGAAGCTTAGTGGCTCCTCTCCCTGGTGAACTACCACAACAACAGTATCAGCTGGTCTGCGGGAGTAATCCCTCTCTAGGTAGTCCTGGAATATAAGAATATAACGGTTATCTTATCAAACTTTTATTAGGGTGGGCCGACATTCTTTTGTAAAAACCAAGTTTAACTTGATCACACCTCTCATAAATCAAACCCTGGAATTAATCACAATAAAAAGCAACTCAAAATTATACATCTGATCTGCTCGAGAATTAGAAGATGTAGCAGGCATTCAACATTGAAAGAATCCAAACTTTTAGTAACATTTGTAAGTTAATTGATCTTGTAATTATTATTAATGAAAATAAAACATTGTTCTGATCATTCAAAACCCAACCTTCATTTTCTATCTTGCATTTTCATTTATTACTCGAGCTACCATAAACAACTTGAACAAGCTATAAAACCTGGACCAGTACCCTGTTACTATTCCAGTAATACATAAAAAATGTCCTCTTTAATAAACAAAAAGCTAAAACCTCAAAAATAAATCAAAGAACTCTACTTTGAAGCATTGTCCCCAAAAATTTCCAAAACAACTCAAACCTCAAATTTCACTTGGATTCTAAAACTGCATGTCACTTAGTAGCTTAATTTAAATGTAGGTCTAATGATGGTGATGGTAAGGTAAAAAAAACCATGAGGCTTTTAAAAAATTGAATTAGATTTGGATAAAACTATGGTTTTTTTTAACAAAGGTCATAGTTGTATAGGCTACCTGTTTGTTTTTTTTTTTTCGACAAGTTAGTTGAAACCCTAACAACTGAAGGATATATTAATTATTTAGTTTTTAGCAAATTTCCCTATAGGGAAACAGCTATTTAACAATTTACTTTTTTTAGTTTGTTACACCTGAGCGAACAACTAAGAAAGAAGTTTCGCTGAGTTACCACTGTTTTCCTTTACTTTTCACTTTTGATAAAGATATGGTTGGTTATAGCGGATATCATAATAAGACAATTGACTTTTTGTTTTCAAGGTTGCTAGTTCCTACACACTGGGACGGGTGGCATCGTCCTGTGATTCAGCTACTAGGAGGTCACGAATTGTGGATATTTATAGGCATGCACTGTGGATGCGATACTCCCTAGTGTGGATTAACGTCCGCACGGGTGAGTACTACGGTTATCCGCAGTACTATCCTGATAATTAGACCAATAAAGGCAAAAATGTGGTTCGGATTCCACTATAAACTGTAGGCCCCTTAGTTGCCATTAGCTGTTTGGGCTATTAATTAACAGCTGTGTCTAAGGAATATGTCGGCCTTAGTCACTAACAAGGCTACAAGATCGCACCACTCATCCTACACTCATCTCCATTCATACTTGGCTTAAAATACCTACTTTGTATGGTCGCCATTTCACTAAAAAGTATTAAAGTATACATTGGTCTACCCAATCATAGGATTATTGCATGAAGGGTTGCCTTGATTAGGCATAGGCACTATTTGATCTTATACTTAAACATACCTCTGCCATTTTAATAGCTAGTCTTCTTTCTTCCTCTGTGGACTGGTCTCCAACCCAAACATAGACCAACTCTCCAGAATCCAAAACCATCACGTCATCTTCAAACAAATCCTGCAAACAAAATTGAAAGTTACTTAAATCTACTGCTAATGATAAAAACACAATTGTTGGGCAGTGTCAGAATGAATGGGAAAAACCAAGTCAAACAAATCAAATTTTTAATTTAAATGTTTCTTGTAATTATAATAATTGACAACGACAAAGGTACAGTACAAAGCCTATATTAGTCCTTATATCGGTCCTCCGAGCAAGAATTAATAAAGTTTTAGAATTTAGCTTCCGGATTACGTTGAATATATTAAGTATAAATTGGTGCCTAAAGATGACTTTGTAGAAAGTCTAAACTAGTTGCGACACTAGCAACAATTAGGATTACTACGAAGCAGGTATTTACACCAGTTTAATATAATTAATAAAGAGCAAGCCTACTTACTTGTTTATCCCAAATACTATCATATTTGGAAACTTTGATATCTTTTACAATAAAGTTTAAAGCACTAACCTGTTGGGAGAAATGGTGAATCTCCTCCACCCGCAGCTTGTTGGGGAAAGGCACGTGGCAATGGAACAGTTTGGTGGCTCGGATGGGTCGGTGGAGCTCCAGAGTGGACGGATACTCGCCTCGGCCTCCGAGCGCCTCCCAGAACTGCTCAGGCTCGCCACCCTCGCTCATGGTTGTAACGCTGTGTCCAGGGGCGAGCAGACCACTCACATCCTCAGCCAGGTCCTCCAACTCAGAAGAGCAGTCCTGCCACCATTGGAAAAAAAATCATTAAATTGAGGTGTTGTAGACAGAACATACTCTCTCAAGGACTAAAGATCACCTGAAGACAATTTGTTTCTTACATCTTCAGCCAGGTTCTCCAACTCGGAAAAGCAGTTTTTGCCACCACCGGAAAAATAAATTCATCAAAATCTACTGCCATATCCTCAAGCTCTAAATCCAGACAAGATTAAATAATTTTAAGCTTCGTTTTATGTCCTGTAACACTCAAGACTGTTGATGAATTCTGTTTGTTTTTAGGTTATTTTGTTTACTTGAAAATGATTCAGACTGGAGGGCCCAAATCAAGGTGTCGGAACCAGTCCAGAGATATATGAGGAAAATGGGCCATAATGATTAGGATGCTACAGATTATACTTATCGGAGGGGTTGTGTTGATGAGGAAAAGTACTGGTTGGGGTGGAACTCCATCAAGCCTCCAATAATCTCCATCGCTCTTTCTTGAGTATTATAAACCAGAAAACCATTAAAATACACCCTCAAATAAGAGAGAAATAATTTGTTAACACCAACACACTTGTCCCAGACTAAACACACACCAGGAAAAGTAAGCTATCGCAATAAGGATGAGAAGTCTACTTGCAATATTCAAAGTCAATGGTTTTACCTTGCCAATCCACAAGTATGTGGTTCCAGGAGTCTCCAGAACGTAAGCCTGGTTGGATGCTAAGGAAGTGACACGCTCAGGGACCTGAACTGCATGGAGATCGTCCTTACAAGAGCCTCGAACCTGCAAAACCACGTTGAGTTCATAAAAGTATGTTTTTGATCATACCTTGTCAATGGAATGGATTTAGAATTGTAACAAACCACTTTGGGACAGTAATCAATACCAGGGTATGTATTTTAACATTTTAAACTTCATGGATAGGCTTATTTGTTATCCATAAGTACACAGACCATAAAAACCACAGAGTAAATAAACGGTATCAGCATTCTGACACATACTTCCTCCCATAAGTTTGTCAACAACCTTAATCATGTGTAAGCGGTGAAAGTAAATATACGGAAATAGGATTTGTACAATTTTGTTCAGAATTTAAAGGACCATAACATACTAAATTTTTTATCAAAATCGTTGGGGCCATTTTTGGGAAAATCCGATTTTTCCGTTATTTTATGGGGTTTTATGAGAAAATCCCCATTAAAAATCTAAATTTCTAAAAAATGAAAAACATTATCTAAATTGTAAGGACCATAACATACTATGTTCAATAATACCCCTGCCGCAGCAAACCTGCAGACTAAGCGAATTTCCATTTGACTGATTGGATTTACACTGAAATGTCTACTTAAAAATATAACATTTATTCCCGATTTAAATAGAATTAGTTTAAAAAGTACTTAGGTTTGCTGCATCAGGGAGGGTAAAACTGTTTTTTTTTTAATTTTAATAGTTAGTAAGAAATAAAAACATTTTCCAAATTTGATCAAAATATGTTCATAAACAAGCAAACTACAACAGTTTACTTATTCTCCATAAGAATAACATGGGAATTTCAAATTTACAGTTTATTCGGAATTTTCTCCGTAACCATTAGGCGCATAATAACGCTTCAATAACCCCTGTTCCCATGGTCCGATCATGCTGGATCATGAACTCGTTCGAATACAGGTTTACACGTTTGTACCAAATTTCATCAAAATCGGATCATTTTTGCTCGAGTTATCGTGCTAACGGACACACACACACACATATATATATATATATATATATATATATATATATATATATGAATTTGAACGGATGGCCTCATGTTTTTGGTCTCTAGGGACCTCGAAAATAAAAAAAAAAATCGGTCCCGCGTCCAGGTCTTACCATGAGTACTACGGTAATAGCTTATTCCCTATATGGGAAATTCGCTAAAAACCAGATTTTATTCTAAAATCCTATTTTTTGTTATTTTATGGGAAAATAACATAATTTACGATAACTTTTGAAACGTAATTTTTACAGAAATGGGATTTGTACCATTTTGTTCAGAATTTAAAGGGCTAAAACATATTACATTTTTATCAAAATCGTTCGGGCCATTTTTGGGAAAATTCTATTTTTCCGTCATTTTATGGGAAAATCCCCGTTAAAAATAAAAATTTCTAAAAAATGAAAAAAAAACGCCTGGAGATACCACGGGTTAGTACCTACATACCAAATTTCATCGAAATAGGACTACAGGTGTAGTCCCTAGCTCTGTACACATCCAGACACACAGACACACACACAGACATCACTTCGAAAACCACTTTTTTGGGTCCAGGGGGACCCAAAACGAATATATCCACTCAAAACTCAAACTCGAAAATTTTGACGATAACAATACCTTCTCCATATACTATGGTATAGGGGAAGAAAGTAAAAGACCATAAAATACACAGTTTTCCTATTTTCAAATTTCCTGCCATTTTTGAAAATGGTGGCCATTTTTGAAACAGTGGAATCAATATTTTTTTTACTTTTTTATAGTCTTTTTAGAATGTAGATGCAATTTTAAGACTTGTATGCTCTTAGCTTTTTCTCTCTAAGCTTACTTGTTAAGGAGCTACATGAGGTAGAATGTACACCGCAAGTCATTTTATTCTTAGTTGTAACACACTGCAACTCCCAAACGAGTAGGTAGCTTTAGGCCCAGTGCACACGGTGTGACTGTTTTACAACCGTCGCTGCAAACCAGTTGCACGTGCAACTGTTTTGTGACCTTGGCAATGTATTGCAGTGGGGAGGCACATGACGCAACTGGTTGTTGGCGATCTCAAAAAACGTTTGAAACCAGTCACATACAACTGTGGGCCCGAGGTTGCAGTTGCGTTGCAGACTTTAGTTGCACGAGACCACGGGGTGTTTTGGTGGTGTTTGGTGGTATTTTGTATCTTGTAAGTTCCAAAAAGGTGTCTTTTGACATTCTGTAAAAAGATTTAAATTTCCTATACGACTGTGACAGCTCTCTAGCTGCTACAAACAGCCTAGAACTAACATTCTTGCTCAAATAAGGGTGAACTAAACCCAATGCTCTCTCTTCGCTGTCTTCCTTCGGTATTGATAATAGCTATAACGTCTTCTTCGTCTGAGTCTGACATAGTAAGCACACTTAAACTTAAACTTAAAAACAACTAAACTGCACTTAAATACACTCCACTGATTGCACAATAGACACAACTGTAGTTGTAAAACAGTCACACCGTGTGCGCTGGGCCTTAGAGATAAAAATTCCAAGAATAAAAACCTTTTTAAAATGCATTTACATTTTAAAAAAATATAAGGTCTTTCATAAGAAAATAATAAAAGTTGGCGGCCGTATTAACAAAAATGGCGGATAAAACTATTTTTTCAACTTGACTAAAATTATTTTAATAAAACATCCAAGGCAGTTACACACAACTTACACAGTTACAACTTAAAATTTTTGAATTTTTCTCTTATAACTTTCAAATAAAACAGCACACAATAAAAATAAATAAAACACTTATATCAATCACCCTGCAGATAGTTAGTTATAAGAGGAACATTTTGGTATGTTATTCCAATGTCCAATATATCAGCCTTTGGAGTTCAAACGGTTAGTTGGTAATAAAGGTGTGTGAATAATAGGGTTTTTGAAGAGCATATCACCGTAATGTATATTTACCTGGAAGAGACGAGTTCCATCAACATCGTAAGTGTCATGATCTCTAAGATTGCGGAAGCCACTCGCTTTGCCCCCGAGGAACACGATCATGTTTCCTGCATAAGCAAGAAGAGACATTAATAAAAGTATTATTGTACTTGGTTAGTGCAACCAAAGGTTTGCAATTGAGTTAAGGTTTGGTAAATGGTGTACAGGTTTAAATTTTATTGTAAAAGATAACAAAGTTTCCAACAAGTGTATTAAGTTAGACTATCCGTAATTATAAATAATCTCTATTAAAAAGGTACACTTTTCACGGACGATATCAAACCTTTTTTGACAATGTCTTATAACTTTGCAGAAATATTGTCATTCAATGTGCTATAAAATCTAGAAAATTCTTATCACCTTTAATTTTAAAGTTGTTTTACCTTATTTTATTTTGAATAAAAAACAATAAATATATAAACAGTAGAGGTCTGAAAAGGGTAACTGGTTCTCATGAATTATTGTTAAGTATATTTTCATATGCATTTAAAAACAATACAATTCACAGCATTTACAACACTTTTAGTATGTCTACCTTTAAGCTCTGAAGAATATTACATTTATTAAACATCTCTAACTGTGGTTTTCCAAATATTAAGCCTCTTGATGAAAATAACAATCGTCATTTATCCAAATAACATTTACCTTTGAAGAGACGCAAAAAGTGAGTAGGTTCTTGTCCCTGGGTCACTCTAACTTGCAAAGCTCGGCCCCCGAGTTCACTGTCCAATCTTGAAGCATGTATTGCTGAGGCAGCACGCTCGTCTTGAGTGCTATCCTTGCCCTGAAAAATAAACGAATGGTAAAAATATTTCACTTAAAAATTTTGTTTATTTTCAACATAATTGTTTATCTAAGAATAGTAATAGTACGAAGTATGATGAAATAAAACTATAATTACAGAATGTTGAAAATTCAATTTTTTGTTATTTCATGGGTTTTTATGGGAAAATCACAAAAGTGTTGAACAGTGGCAAATATATGCAGGCTATAATGCATATGTCAAAAGTACAAGATACAAATACATTAAATATTACCTGAAACCCCAGGATATGAATACTAATTGTTTCATTAGTTACAAATTCATTGTGTGCTATTAGCTTGTAAACACAACACTTGCTGACTAAAGTCTTAGCTAAGCATCTTGAAGGCAAGAGCCTTGAAAGCGAAGAGTAGGTAGTTTAATTATATCCTGAATAGGATTAAAAAAACTAAGGTTATATTTTCTATTTCTTTACTAACAACAATATTATAAACACCCCTCAAATAATTAACACACAAAATATAAATATCATCTAACCTGCCAGAAGTATATGATGTACTTCTCCTGAGGGCCGTCGTGATACTTGTACTTGATCACGTAGGAATCCCCACCAAAAAACCTGCCGTAAGTGTTGCGCTCTACTGGAACCAGTTCAAAATTCTCCACCCTGTAGATCTCCATTTCTCCGTTGCCGTCGTCGGGCATGAAGCCGACAGCCGGGTCGCAGTCGTACAGCACCGAGCGAACACCACGGTTACGGACAGGGCTGTTACTGCCTGTAAACATACTCCCTTGTCACCCATATCAGCTGAAGACATTTAATTTTTTTTTTTTTTTTTTTATAATGTGTGTTTTATGTTAACCTGCTACTTGTATAGTTTTTTATTTATTATTTCACCAAATTTATCAACAACAAAAAAATAATTGCCGTCCATATTTTGGATTAAATTATTTAGACCTTTAAATATTGCTCAACCTCTAGTAGTCCAGTAAAATAAGACATTTTGGTATGCAAAAGGTCGGGTAGTTCTGATTTTTGGATATGTTGTTAGTATTGGGCCCATAACATAAAATCCAAGTTATCCACCTCGAGATACTGCCGCTCGCCGTGGGGCGCGCCACTTGTTATCGAAATATCATAAATATGGCAATTCCTATTGTTTTTCACTCGTTCTCGCGAACCGTTGATTTTACCGAAAGTTTTATATTATTACATTAAAGAAGAATAAATTTGTGACAGTTTAAGCCCAACAGCAAGTATGTAGCGTAAATAATGGACAAAATACAGACCATCAAAATAAATAAATTTTTCCAAAGACATATAAAAATTGTGGTTTTTTCCAATATTTCCACAATATAGTTGTTTGAAGTAAACACCGTATTGATTTAGAGAGTATGCCAGTTTATTTGCTATTATTAGAAAATAAATGAAAGTATGAATAAAAATACCCCCACCTCAGCAAACCTGCATACTAAGCGAATTTCCATTTGCTTGATTTGATTTTAACAAACCTATTAAATAACATTAGGTTTAACTAGTACCTAGGTTTGCTGCTACAGGTAGGGTAATATAGTACTGTATATCTTTTAGTAAATAATAATAGTATGATAAGAAACAAATAAATGTACCCAATTTTATAAAAATGTGTCTATAAATAAGGAAAAAACAATAATTAAAAATCTTCGCTTTGGAATAACTTGAGGTTTTTTAATTTACATTTTTTAAATTTTCTCCGTAACCAATAACTGTAAAAAAAATTTTAATGTTCTAAATTATTTGTTTTTAAGCTCTACAAAATTCTTTAATGATACAATTGTAAAATTGTAAGTTTTGAGGGTTAAAAATGAAAAAAAAATATTCTTACTGGCAAAATACCTATAAGGCAACCGTTCCTATGGCCTTATCATGCCGATCATGCTTCGCGATCTCGTTTTAATAAATAAATGTACGTTTACATGATTCAATGATTCAATGATTTATTTGGCCATCAAGGAAAACTAATAGGCTAAGTCCCTTACAATACAAAGTAAATGATAAATAGTCCATCTCTTCATTCACAAATAAAAGTAATGTTTGTACTAAATTCCACTAAATCGGATGATTTTTGGTAATCATCGTGCTAATGGACGATAATAACTTTTTTGGATACAGTTTAGTAATATCTTTAGTTTTTTTTTATACAGGGTCTCAAAAAAACTCACCTAGTTTGAAAATTTATTTATTTATTGTACTAGATACAAACTACTGTTCAACGACTGATAGACTATGAATACTGACTATAGACAACTGACTATAGAGAAGGCTATGCTGATACATTAAATGAAAGGTAATAAAATAAAAATTATTTTAACACTATCACACCTCAATATGCGAACCATTTGTAGCCCTGCAGACATGCAAGCTATTTTTACTCATTTTTATCATTAATATTTTATTATTTGTATTATAATTTATTAACAAAACTATGTTCAAGGTCAAATAGATTTACGCAACTTATTGCCAACGTACGAAACTAAAACTTTGAAGTATACTCTACACAGCACGAAATTATTATTACTCATCCATTTGAACAATAGTATCGTGAGGTATGTTTAAAACTATGGAGTCTTTTTCGGACACCTGGTATAGGCCTATATACATATATATATATATATATTTATATATGTTATAACAATTTGAACCAACAGTATTTTTGGCCTCTAGGAATACCAAAATGAAAAAGTAAATTGGTCCCGGGTCTAGGTCTTACCATGAGACTTACTGTAATAGCGTATTCCCTATAAAGGAAATTTGCTAATAATCAGCATATCATTTATATTGAATGGTGTGTGTTGAGGAAACCACTATTTAATCTTTTCATCAATTTCGTTGTCTCGAGCAATGCGATAATGGCGCGCGTCAACATGTTGCTCACTGTTAATGTTCAACTGACGTCATTTTTTATAATATTTCTCAACTTCCTACAGATTTGATGAGGACGGGTCATCCCAAGCGCCCATCAAGTTACAAAATGTTGTCTGTTATCCCTCGTCCTCGAGTCAATCCATCAGGGCTTTTCATTGTCTTTATTAGGGCCTGTTCGATGGTCTAATCAGACCAAATTCCACACCAGAACATGTCTGTACGTCTTGTAGTGAAATTTCCGATCTTTGTGAACTTTTTGTGTTCTTCAATATCAATCCTGTATTTCAATTCATATTCAGCATGTCCTGTATAGATGGGCGCACTTGGCGTGGAAAAAATACCCGCTGCATGGAAGATCTGTAGAGTGATTGTAATTGGAAGATCTTTTTTGCCTGATCTTTCAGCCTCAATAAACTGTTAACTATGTTAAACTGTTTTATTTTGTTTTCATGTGAAAGTATTGTACCCAAAGCTTAGCTTAAATGTTTATGTATAAACATTTGATAGCTTTGGGAAGAGTAGTTTTGCCGTTGAAGGTATATTTTGAAGGTCTGTTTGTCGGCATGTAAACCTACATTTATTAAAACGAGTTCGCGAAGCATGATCAGGCCATGGGAACGGTTGCTTTATCGGGTTTTTCGTATTTTTGACCCACAAAACATTTACAATGTATCTCTAAACCATTTTGTAGAGCTTAAAAACAAATAATTTAGAACATTAAAATGTTTTTTTACAGTTATTGGTTACGGAGAAAATTAAAAAATGTAAATTAAAAAACCTCAAGTTATTCTAAAGCGAAGATTTTTAATTAATGTTTTTTCCTTATTTATAGACACATTTTTATAAAATTGGGTAAATTTATTTGTTTCTTATCATACTATTATTATTTTATATAATATATTACCCTCCCTGTAGCAGCAAACCTAGGTACCAGTTAAACCTAATGTTATTTAAATAGGTTTGTGAAAATCAAATCAAGAAAATGGAAATTCGCTTAGTCTGCAGGTTTGCTGAGGTGGGGGTATTTTTATTCATACTTTCATTTATTTTCTAATAATAGCAAATAAACTGGCATACTCTCTAAATCAATACGGTGTTTGCTTCAAACAACTATATTGTGGAAATATAAAAAAAACCACAGCTTTTATACGTCTTTGGAAAATTTATTTATTTTGATGGTCTGTATTTTGACCATTATTTACGCTACATACTTGCTGTTGGGCTTAAACTGTCACAAATTTATTCTTCTTTAATGTAATAATATAAAATTTTCGGTAAAATCAACGGTTCGCGAGAACGAGTGAATAACAATAGGAATTGCCATATTTTTGATATTTCGATAACAAGTGGCGCGCCCCGCGGCGAGCGGCAGTATCTCGAGGTGGATAACTTGGATTTTATGTTATGGGCCCAATACTAAAAACATATCAAAAAATCAGAACTACCCGACCTTTTGCATAGCAACCCCTATATTTTCTGACAGATTTACTGGACTATAGTATTTGGATAAAAAAGTTAAGCACATGGTGCTAAAATGAGAGAATAACATTTAATTGACCTCAGCGAACTCAAACTCAGGTATTGAACACACATCAAAACATTCCTCAATAGGAAATGTTTTGCACTAGCAAGAGAAGTTTCAATGTCAATAGTATTATGCCATGAAATTATAGACTCTGCAATTCTGTAGGTTATGTTTTGATTGAATTAAGAATTAGTATAAGTTTGGATGAGTTGTATAGTTTTATTTTGTAGAGTATAATTTTTGGAAGAACTTTTTAATGTCTACTAAAGTCTGGAGAGGATATTAAAAACTGATTTTTTAAAATTAATACTATCTTCTTACCAGAACTTCCCCTGCGTCCAAAAGTGTTGGTCCAAGTGCCGAAGTATTCCCGGAAGCCAGCAGGCTCAGCTTGTTCAACAACTCTGGATATCTGTTCAATCAAAAAAGAAATTGAATGTTTTCGTGTAGTAGTTGATTTTAAATTTTAAACAAAAAAGAAGATTTTTATGGTATAGCCTCTGGATCACTGATTTTTACAATGAAAGGTTTATATTACCTGTATCCGTCAAGAGATCTTAGATTGTAGTTCTGAATACATATGAATTGTGTAGATATGAATGAGAACACACCCTTGGAACTAAAGGAATTTAAACATTTAAAATAAAAATGTGTAAATATTTCAGAGCTCCAACAGACCTCACAAATTGTCCAATAAATCTGAAAGGACTCGGAGCTATTGCAAATTAAAATTATTTGGAGCTATTACAATTAAAAAGTATCGGAGTTAAAACAATTTGAGCTTTGGAACCCCACTTCTGATAATATAAACAAGAATTTTATTCAACCAACATCCCTGTGGCGTTTGATGTATGGTAAAAGGTTTTTTGACTGGCAAAATTTTAGTTTTTTTCTGATTGGTTAATGAAAGATTGATACAAATTTTTAACCCTTAGAGTGCCAGGCGAGAAATAAAAGTAACGCTCAAAAAATGCCGATGATTTTTCCCGAAGCTCGCGCTAAAAATGCCGAGCGCGATCTGGCGATTTTTAGGTTAAAATTTCGTAAAAATCAAATTTTCGATATTTCGACCAACGAAAATTGATGTATCGCATCTAGTAACTTTCGACTCGATGTTAATATATGGGTTAAAAGAATCCGAGTATCCATTCGGTTGTTATGACAACTGTTCGATCATTACGAAACGTCCGGTCAGCCGGACGTTGGCACTTTTGGCTCGTTCTAAAAACGTCCGGTCGGCCGGACGTCGGCACTTTTGGCTCGTTTTAAAAACGTCCGGTTCCCCGGACGTTGGCACTCAAAGGGTTAAATCTGGCAATACAGAATATATGAGTAGATGGTTTATCATAGTTACAATACCAATCTCGGAGACATTTTCAAACTGAAATACTTGGTATTTGGAGGATGGAACACTTTGGCTTAAGAATACTTGAAGGAAGAAGGAATTGATATAAAACTTACCTACCAAAGAAAAGGGGTTCAGGCAGTTGACAGTGTACAATTTTAATTTTATATCCGGCTTCTACAAGTGGGTTTCTTCAGAAGAAATAAGAAGAAATCTAATACTTTTTTGTGCTGTCATTTACCTGGAGCTGGGGTAAGTTAGTTGAGTATCCATTCTTTCTTCCTGTACAGTTATATGATAATAACTCAACTATTTTTTTAATTAAAGAACTTATACATCTATTTGATTGGAAATTGTTTAAAAGCACACTTTAAAGTTTTTACCTTAGTCCAAGACGGGTAGTTCTTTTCTTTCAGGAAAGCTTGTCCGTTTTTCAGAGCCTCCACTTTCTCTTGAGTGGTTGACTTCTTCCCAACCCAAACGTAGATTCCGGATGTTACAGTATCTAAGATGAAAGCATCCTGGACAATCAACAGTGTTATTTCTTTGAACGACTAGAAAATCATGTTAGAGAATTTTGGATTTTAACCGGCTTCTATTAATCACTAAATCACCTTTATACTGATATAACTGATAACTGATAGATATCAGTTTGACAGGACCATTGACTTTTAAATACTAAAGTAGATATCTCATCTATATTCACCAGCTGTGGCCAATTTTTTATTTGAATAGAAGGTTGTTGAATGAGCTACTCGTAGAATCAGAATCAGAATCATTATCAGGATCCTTCGGCAGTAAATACAGCAATAGACACAGGTACAATTTTAATATGCAAAACATAAGAGTGCTCTACACTCTAAATTTATATTTCTCCCTTAGTTTTTGTTACTTCAATAGTTGATAAGGGAGCCGGAGCACAAATTGCGCCTGTTAATAGGGTCCGAAACATGATTCAGAGGCAAATTGAATAATGCAATAGCCTTTCATTTATCAAAGATTATGTTCATTTCAGACAGTTTTCATATGTAAAAAAACTACTAATTTACAATAAATTAAATGATTGTAAAACCAGATTTACCAACACCAATCAGGTTACAATTAAAGAAGTCTACAGTACAGTATTTAAAATCTATTTTCATAACCTGTTCCGTCTCTTATTTACAATCTGACTGTGGTCAAACATTCAATGATTCATCAGAAGGATCAGCTGTTAAATTATTTTAATAGCCGTTATAAAGACAGTTGATCAGACATTATAATTTTGTCCAACAATTACATCTGAGTTGCGTTTATAATACCATAGTTAAAAAATACTCCCTTAGTAGATTTCTCATCCTTATGGAACAGCTGAAGACAATTTTATTGTTAGTTCTGTACGGTTTATGTAGAGGTCGTGTTTTGTTTACAATTTGTTTTCCGTTATTACAGCCATTTAAAACCTCGTTTAACCAAATAATACGATCTAACCATAAACAATAACTTGTCCCCTAGTTATATAACCAAACAGTAAAGCACAAATCATGAATTAACCCTAAAATAATGGAAACAAAGTTTCGTCGACACTAGCGCCTTTGTGTCACGTACATGAACTAGACACGAAAAACGTGCTTCAAAATTTACAATGGGATGAGAAGTCTACTTGTGTTGGTTAGTCTATGATAATACTTAATCCATTTTATACTTTTATCAAATGTAATGTAAATATAATGTTCTTGTTCTTACATTGGTGTCAAGCATGTCTTGGCGAAGAGGTTTGTCAGCGATCTTGACTGATGAAACTTTTCCGGACGCATCACTGATCTTGTATAAGGCCACAGTGTTCTAAACAAACATTCACTGTTAGGCTACTAAGAACATGAACCAGTTATAAGTAACATGAACAAGCTCTGTTGGTATCTTAGAGTAAATATGTTTGACTATAAGTGGAGAATCAAATGTTCAAAATGTATAAATGATCAAATGTATAAAACAAATATAATATGTTATTATAATTTTTTTCTTAAATATGATTTAATGAATTGAATAGGTAACTTGTTCGTTTTTGTTGCCACAAATATGTATAGGGTTCAATATAGATTGCAATTCATCACAGAAAACTATCTAACAGAAACCAGACAATAAAATAATCATCATAAGCTTGAAACGCACCATTAAAACATTTTGAAAAGTTATTGAGTTTCACTAATTAAGTGTTCATTAAAACTTTCAATAATATAAAAACCATATTTTGCCACGTACATCTAGGTTTCTCTCAAACTGCTGGTCGTCATCGGTTTTAGGTTCGTCAGCAACCTGGTTTGCAGAACCTCCTCCCAGCTGCTTGAAAAAGTCTGCCACTTCATCAGCTGTGCTTGAAGCATCTACAAAAAAACATTGCTGATATAAGTTGAGGAATTAAATGTTTAAGTTACATAACCAACAAAACTATACTTTGTTCACATAATGTAGGTGGTTTTAGGGGAAGAAAACTATCAACTCCACTTCATAATAACAAAAGCTCAAAAGCTGAGGTTTGCCAACACAAACGTCAATCAGCTGCAACATATAATTTAAGGAAAAAAAAAACAGTGGCGAAACTTCCCCTCAAACCACCTACATTTTGTGAACATGCGAACAAAAGGGACTCACATATACTTAACAATGGAAAAAACATAGAAACTAAACACAATGTAGAATACTTTTAGTAAATCAAAAGGGTCATAAAATAAAAACAATTGCAAACTCAAGACCCATAACTTTTTGTATAGGAGCACAAAACTGATATTCCACAGTCCATAGACAAAACATTTTTTGGACTTATTAATTTTAATTATTATGGACTTAGTATGGACTTCTAATTATTTAATATATAATTACACAGTGTACTACAGCAGTCAGACTAGTAGCTAGAAATTCTGTCAAGGAGACCTGATTTCAAATCTCTACAAACACCAATACCAATTTACCAAGTGATTATATTGTGACGGTGCGGTTCAGAGCCCCTTTACACCTAGACCTGAAGTTGACTAACTGCACAAGATGAACTGGTACTTACTAATTTTGGAAATACAGAACAAATACTCACCGATGATGTTAACTTTTCCACGACCAGAGTGGTCCTGGTCCCTGATAAGATTGGCAGCTCCAATTGCCTTCACTCTCTCCGAGCCCTTAGCCTTCGCCCCGACGTAAATGTAGATGTCTCGCCCAGTGTCTAAGATGAAGCAGTCGCCCTTGTTCATGGACGTAATTTTTGGCTCGACCTATGACCAAGCAGGGAAAGTACTTAAATTCGCTTTACCTACAATAGTATTTGTTAATAGTTTTTTTATAAAAAATTGAAAAAATTACAACATTGGTATTGTGCACTTATGGACTTTTTTAGTATTGTTCTATACAAAAACTACTTTCAGTCATTCAAAGTGTAATACTTTAAACATCTTATAAAACACATAAAAATTGTGGGGGTTTTAATTTTTTTAATTAAATTTTTTAATTACATTTCTTTAAATTTGTGTACTGTAAAAGCAATGGCTTTATGTTGCTAATTGCACTTTTGGACCCCATAAAAAATAAAAATCTTAGATATTAATGCATAATTTACTGTCAGGAATATTACAGGACTATCCAACCCCTCAGATCTTCCTACAAAAAAAAAAAAAAAATAAAAATAAAGACTGCAAGTATCCTAACTGATAACAATAATTATCTAATTCTTACATCTATTCAGAATCTACAGTACCATTTGAAAACAACATATTCTGTTTCAAGTGGTTTTGTCTCAACTAACCTGTCTCACTCGTACGTTACGTTTACCCTTGACTTGATACAGAGCCTTTTCTCCAGCAGCGTTGATGTCTACATGTTTGAATCCGCTGGCAACTCCACCGGGAACGTAACGTACACCTGCAATAAAATGTATCTAGATCACTCAAAATACAACATGTTTAACCAACAGTTAAATCAATGTGAGAACCTTGGAATTAATCCAAATACTAGTTCTGGTTATCACTTTTAAGACAGTGAAAATTTTGGGTATATGAGCTGAATTTACCCACAGGATGAGAGTGAACTAACGGAGTAATTGAGTAGCGTTGATACAGACTTAGATCATTGACTATACACAAACAAATATTTTTGTCTTCAATCAATATGAGAAGATAATCTGTTTCTTTAGCCACGACCATTTATTAAAATCTCAGTGCTCAAGAACAGCTGGGTCTAGTTTCAAATCATGAAAAAGCTACTGACTTTTCTCAGGATCAAAACAGCAGTTACCATGGAGACCTAGGTGTGTATTTTAACCCAAATATAAACTACAAAGGATAAGTGTTGGAGTGATATAATCTAGGTAGCTTGTTACTGACTAAGATCAGCTGTTTCGTTAGCCAGGATTCTTTATTTACAGCTCAATGATCTGGAACAGCTGGGTCCAGTTTCAAACCATCGAAAAGCTACTGACTTTTTTGGATCGATCTGGCAACATTTTGATTGTTAGGCGACCACCATAACCACTCAGCTACCCAACCCTGATTACTAATAAGGATAATCACTTGTTTATACGCCTAGCTATTTGTACAACCTGGGAGTGTTGGAAGCTTCTTTACCAATTTACAAATTGATGGAATTTATAACAATCAGTCTTTAGGTATAACTAGAAAATCTTCTTGGCTCTCAGATCTTATTGTAAACTAGAGCAAGTGTTAGGTACCTATTAACTAGTACGAGAGGTCGTCCAGTGGTCGAAACTCGACCAAAAATATGTAATGTACTCACTTAACTATTTTCACCCCACACTGTAAATAAAACATGTGATTGGAGTTTCCTCCATTTGTTTTGATTTTCTGTTTATATTTCGTTGTTATTTCGTAACCAGCATAGCAACGCATAAGATCCATGTTAATTTTTTACAACTTTTAAACTTATTTTTTGTGCTTATCTTTGAGCCTATTTAAATTTATAAAGGGATTCTGCACACCTATAATTCAGTTAATTTGTGTTTTTACCAGGAAAGTTTTGGGGTAGTTAAGATTTTTTCCATTTCTTATGTATTTTGGGGTGCTGAATCCGAATCTGAGGTTTGCCAACAAAAATTCATGACGCAACATTGACAAAAATGAGAAAAATATGAAAAAAATGACATTTTTTGTAATATTTAGCTTATAACTCAGAAACTATCAACTTTTTGTTATAAGTCTATATTATCAAAATTAAAGTACACAAAATTTGCTACAAAATGTACCCCTAATGTGGTAATCTCCGATGAACCGTTTAGGCTCCAGAGCTATTTGAAAATTGGAACATTTTGTGTTAGTTTTTAAATTTCTCCAATTATTCTGTCAATGACATATATTCATTGTATATACCCAGGCAAAGGTCTTATATAAATCCAAAGTGTTAAAATTGATTAATTTTGTGTTACTGAACCGTTGACTTTTTATTTAGTGTACAGAAAAGTTACACGAACTGTTGCCGTTTAAATTATCCTCGCTCAGAGGGTTGTAATGAGGCAGGTTCTGGCAAACGTTTCGATGCATTATTTGTAAGCATTCTAGCTTGTTCATCTGGACAATTAAAAAAGGTTAACACCCCCGCCGCAGCAAACCTGCAGACTAAGCGAATTTCCATTCGACTGATTGGATTTACACTGAAATGTCTACTTAAAAATATAACATTTATTCCCGATTTAAATAGAATTAGTTTAACAAGTACTTAGGTTTGCTGCATCAGAGAGGGTAAAACTGTTTTTTTTTGTAAAATGTTAATAGTTAGTAAGAAATAAAAACATTTTCCGAATTTGATCAAAATATGTTCATAAACAAGCAAACTACAACAGTTTACTAAAGATTGACATAAGATGATGATTCTTCATAAGAATAACATGGGAATTTTAAATTTACAATTTTTTGGAATTTTCCCCGTAACCATTAGGCGCATAATAACGCTTCAATATACTAAATTATTTGTTTTTTAAGCTCTACAAAATGGTTTGGAAAGAAATTGCTAAATTTTATGATTTTTGGGACAAAAATGGGAAAAACCTATTTTTACCCCCGTTCCCATGATCCGATCATGCTGGATCTTGAACTCGTTCGAATAAACGTAGGTTTACACGTTTGTACCAAATTTCATCAAAATCGGATCATTTTTGCTCGAGTTATCGTGCTGACGGACACATATATATATATATGAATTTGAACGGATGGTGTTTTTGGCCTCTAGGGACCTCAAAACGAAAGAAAAATCGGTCCCGCGTCCAGGTCTTACCATGAGTACTACGGTAATAGCTTATCCCCTATATGGGAAATTCGCTAAAAGTAGAAAACAAATTTACACATAATAATAAGTAATACCAAAATCAAAACTATCAAAATTAAAATAACACCAATCTGTTAATCATGTAATATCTTATGCACCTGATGACGTGATATTAAGATATACGTAAATAATAAAATGTTATGTAGGCATATACTGTTGCTAAGCATTTACTTTGTGTGTAGATTTGATAGATTATAGGTCCTAGGGCGTAGAGCATAGGCCTACATGAGAGTGGTAAGGGTTAATTAACTTAAGATAGTCAATACAAATTTTGGCTAGAAAACTAAATCCAACGTTGCCCCACTGCCCCCAACTCAAGCAGCTGCGTAGACATAACTCGCTTAGAGTTTACATTAACATTCGGGTGAATGAATTGGGGTGAAAAAAAAAATAGTATTGGCCTATGGTAACAGTGCTAATCACTCTAAGCCATGCATCGGTCTTGAAATTTTACACAGAAAATTTTATAATGGGTGCCAATACGATTGAGGATGTACAATGGGGCTGTGATGCTAGAGTCTAAGTAAGTAAGAAAGTAAGTATAGTACCAAACGCACATTCCTTTATTTATTAACTTGTTAAATCTACACACAATATAAATGCTTAGCAACAGTATATGCCTACATAACATTTCATTATTTACGTATATCTAAGTATCACGTCATCAGGTGGATACGATATTACATGATTAACAGATTGGTGTTATTTTAATTTTGATAGTTTTGATTTTGGTATTACTTATTATTATGTGTAATTTTTTTACTTTTAAGCTTTTTTTAATTGTCCAGATGAACAAGCTAGAATACTCACAAATAATGCATCAAAACGTTTGCCAGAACCTGCCTCATTACAACCCTCTGAGCGAGGATAATTTAAACGGCAACAGTTCGTGTAACTTTTCTGTACACTAAATAAAAAGTCAACGGTTCAGTAACACAAAATTAATCAATTTTAACACTTTGGATTTATATAAGACCTTTGCCTGGGCATATACAATGAATATATGTCATTGACAGAATAATTGGAGAAATTTAAAAACTAACACAAAATGTTCCAATTTTCAAATAGCTCTGGAGCCTAAACGGTTCATCGGAGATTACCACATTAGGGGTACATTTTGTAGCAAATTTTGTGTACTTTAATTTTGATAATATAGACTTATGACAAAAAGTTGATAGTTTCTGAGTTATAAGCTAAATATTACAAAAAATGTCATTTTTTTCATATTTTTCTCATTTTTGTCAATGTTGCGTCATGAATTTTTGTTGGCAAACCTCAGATTCGGATTCAGCACCCCAAAATACATAAGAAATGGAAAAAATCTAAACTACCCCAAAACTTTCTCGCTATGAGTAAATTTAAATACAAATTTACTGGATTACTACAGGAAAATAGCTTTCCAACGGTATGCGTAGATTTTCCCTACGATGCACACGAGCTGAGAAAAAAGGTTTTAAAGAAACATGCTTGCCTATTAATATATAGATAGATAACCTAATATTAGGTATGCATCTTGTGTATCATTTCAGTTGTATGTCTTTGCTCGTTAACCACCTGTACTTTTTCTTGTAATGCTAGCTTATTTTTGTTCGGAGTCTACTTGCTATTAATTTTGTACGTATTATTTTTGTAGTAGTATTCGTATGCATCTTGTGTTCACTTATTGTATTTAGTATTTATTATTGCTTGTGATCTTCCGGATGTAATGGTATTTATTGTACAGTGGCTTTTGCCATAAATAAACTAATTGAATTGAGCCTAAAAAAGTCAGCTGTAACCTACCAGATTTGAAGTAGCTGAGGAACAGCTCACTCTCGTGTTCCTGTACCTCTCTGTGCTGTACAGGACCTCCACCGAGACCATCGTCCAAGTCAACAGACAAGATGGCCGCAGCTCCAGCCTCGTCCTGGAGAACAAAAAACATTATGGCCATTGACAGGTAGAATTCCCATGTTAAAGCTGTTACAAACATGAACAAATGTTTATTGAGCCACATAATAATGTGTGTGCACTGGTTCAGGATGTCAACTTTATGACCACAAAAAACTAAGAGAACGTATTGAAAACTATATTTTTTGTTGTATGTTTTTGTATAATCTGTTGTTAACAAAAATTTTTGAGCAAGCTCATGTGGAAATAAGGTATCAAAAAGTCAATGGTTATTTCTAAACATTATTTGACTTAAAGTGAAAGGAATTGTTGGAGATGAGGCAATTTTGACAAATTGTATAATAACAATTATGTTAATGTTTGACTTTCTACTTTTTCTTTGTCTAAATTCTAAAATGAACCCTTGATTTTCAGTCTAACCTGTGATGTTTGATTACCAAGCCAAAAGTGGATGTCCCAACTGAACGTCCCCTTCTTACTCTTGTCTTCTTTGGTCTGGAAATGAAATAAATAAATAGTAACTGTAAATTTACACCTAATTGAAAATATTTCTTTTTATTTAATAATTATACTTACTGAGTTTAAAAAAAAAAAAAAAAAAAAAAAAACTTAGATGTCTTGTTCTAGTGGTGGAACCTCAGTAAGAAGACGCTCGATAACAAGTGGTTTCTTTATTACAAGGGACATTTCAAATAGCCTAGATTTTATCTTCGCCTTAAATAATTACATATTATCGCAAACCTCGATAAGAAATCAACCTTGAAAAAAAGTCCTATTTGATAAACGCCATTTGAGGACTTGTTCTACTGTATTCATTATTCGCCTACAAGTAGAGGCCTTAAAGTGAACATGCACAGCCTTATAAACACCATTTAAACCTCTTCAGTAATAGGAAGTATGTTTAATCTATGATAATATCATCAGAAAATATTTGTACAAACAACAACAATTTTAGCCAAAGTTCTTTGAATGGGCTATAAACTTGTACAATATAAATAGTGTGATCTTTATTTACCTGATGGTAAACTTATTTGTCAGTTTTCATCAGTGTTTTTTATATAAAATTTATAGTTTATCATAAATGGCCAATTTTAGTTGTAGAGTTCACAATGTTTAAGAATCCTAGAAGTAAACATTAACACTCACTTTTAACACGATGTACGAGTCGCCACTATAGAACTTGCCATAATCCTTCTGTGGGTAATCCACTGGTGCAAAGTTCTGAAACAATAGAAGTTCACAGTTAAATATTGAAACATAGGTAATGATATAATAGTTTTACAATCATAGATGGTATTGGTAGGGTAGGGAGTTCTTATAATGTGTTGATAAAAGCATAGATTATGTATATACTCCCTCATCAATTTGTCATGGTTATGGATTATTCAAAGACAGTTTTTAGGTAGGCATATTGCCATCATGTAAGATGAGTTTTGATGTTTATTTATTTTTTATTCTTGTTATTTCTATACCTGATAAAAATACAAAATTAATATCAAAACACAATCTTTAAGCTTCTGCTCCTTCTCTGATATTACGACAAAAGAACCCCTGTTTTTTTAAGTTACCTACCCTCGCATAAAATAAAAATGTATTTAATCATAATCCACACCATCTAAGTTTTACTCATCTACAGATTCTTCAGATTACGATACAATCAAATTAGAAGTCTACACTTGTAGTATCCAAAGTCAATGATAAAACATACATTGTTAACAATCATGTCTTGGATAACAAGTCAAGTTAGTCATGGCACATTACATTTTATGACTGGTCAACGCACTGATTATCTAAAGTCAATACAGCGTGGAAGCTAACTGATGTAGCATACAAGAAATAAGTGGTGTAACACTAACACACCACACTAGCCAAGAGTTTGAAAATTTAAAAATGGTTATGGTAAAACTTAAAATCAGGTTTGGATTTGAATTTTTATTGTGAACGTTTTATTGATTTAGTATTTGCAATTAATATTAATATTTCTCACAACATGTAAGTTTAAATATAATTCAAAAGATGGATGTATTAAATTGTTTTTTGACGTTTTGAAACATTTTCACCTATCTTGAAGATCGAGTCTTAACTTTGCATTAATTTTTTTAAGGTGATCAGTTAAACAATTCCTACAAACAAAACATGACTCAAACACAGTACAGTAGTTTGTTATGAGTGTATCATAAAATAAACAACCAATTCCTATAATATGCTAACACCAAGGGTTTTTTGTTGTTGTTGTTGTTGTTTTTTTTTTAAGTAACATGACTGACTAAACAAATTTCCTCAAATGTTTGACATGGATAAATTGCAGAAAGTGTTAAAGTGTGTTAACATTCTGGTAAATATATTTTTAAATTAGTTTTTCATTTTTATTGAAAATCTTTACAGCCTATGTATATTTTATTACTATAATATAATATTATTATAAACATTTTTCCCCTCTAGAATTGTGACAAAGGAATAACAGCTTACAATTATTTTTAAAGTAATGCCTAAAAATGGTATGTATGTATATAATATAATATAATATTATTATAAACATTTTTCCCCTCTAGAATTGTGACAAAGGAATAACAGCTTACAATTATTTTTAAAGTAATGCCTAAAAATGGTATGTATGTATGCAATCGCTGACTGGACCAGATTCTACCCCACTGCCCCTTCGATCGCTGACATACTGTGTACAAACTATATCCGCTGCCTGGGCGTGGATTCCACTGCCTTCTCGATCTGCACTTGCATAATCAGCGCTGACATACTGTATACAATGTATCTCCGCTGCCGCTGGGCGTTGTCGCCATCACAGATGATTTTTTGCAAAACGACGCCGTCCATTACGAGAGTGATGTTCCGAGACGTTCCCAACCCTCCATTGTTTGACGAGACGCGGAGAAAAATCGAGAGGACTGTCGTAACCATGATGCGAGGTGCATCTTGCAACGTTGGTATTTTCCGTTATTTGGACAAGCTGCATAGGTGGATGTAGCCATTATCGTTGTTTGGATTAAAGTAAACATTTTATAGTGACTGGACTGAGCAGATGTGTCCGAGTCTAAAATAGGTTGTAAATGTTTGGGGATGTTTTCAGTTGTACACAAACTGCAGATAGCCAGTTTATAAATACCACATCACTCGGCGCTTTGAATTTTAATCATGGCAAAACAGGGTGGGTTCCAGGAATCGGTCATGAAATCTATATTCCTCTTATATGTTTTATGTTTTATGTGTGCTCTTAGGGAGGGAACCCCTCATACCCATTTAAGAAAGCAGTTTTTAAAATCCTCCATCCTCTGCCAAACTGTTTCGGCATATATACAATCATAATATTAAATAGGTGATGTAATGCTACTGAAACAATAGAAGAGGAGTTAAAATAACTACAGAAGATCAAGTAAATATGATTAGTTAAAGCTTTATAGAAAGGTGTCGAACGAGATAGCCTTAGCAGCATATGAATATAATGAAACAGTATGAATATACTTTGTAGTAGGCCTACATGTAGACGCATTAAAACGACAGAAATCAAGAAGAAATCGTCAATGTACAGTGAAGTGACGAGTGAACAATTTTTATCTAAATCACAATCGTTTAATTGAGAACAGATATTTTTCACATACATTATTTTTAATTTTTCACTTTCAACTTCTTACGTTGTTTTAATACCGTAGTTCAAAATTCCATTGAGGTTGTACAGACAAATACGTACGATGTAAACGTAAACACTTTAAATATTATGCCCAATTTAATACAGCCAAAAATGTGCTTGAGGCCCCAACCATAATTGTTGGTGGCCTTTTCTTGGACACCCGGAACTACTATAGACAGGGTGAACACGTTTCCCGAAAAAAAACCAATTATTGCTTAAACCATTTTGCAATGAATGTAAAGCCCGCAAAATTATTTTACATTATTTTGAAACTTGTTAAATAAACTGTATATTATCATCTTTCGAAGAAATAAATGCAGTGAATGTTTTATCGAGAATCATAGCTGCGGTTTTTAGAGCTAAAGAAACCCAAGATGAGTCAAGCAATCGTTTCAGCGTTTCACGTAAATGTCAACTTGATCGATAATTCTGTCACGGCGCGGGAAATGTCACAGAAACTTGCATTTATCTCAATCTCGTCTCCGCGAATATCTGTGAGTAATGAATGAGTCGTGCAGATTTTGAAACAGCAAATTTTCTTTTTACTTGTTCTTATTGAAATGTCCAGTAACGGCATACTGCGATTCCTGCTGTGTAAATCTGAAATCATGATTGAAACTGTTGCTGGAAGTTACTTTTTATCTAGAGTTAACCACTGAGTAGTGTTTGTCAAAATTGTAAAAATTCCCAAACTTGTAAACATTTTAACTGAACAAAATTATTTGATTTGATTTGCAGGATAATAGATCAATAGATTATAAGTCATTGTTGTGATATGAAACTTGTCCAACATTTTCATGATTTATAATATAAAATGTAATCTTATATACTAAAAACTATTTGCAAAACTACGTCAGCTAACCTGGCCATACCACTGGATCGAATTACGCGCGGTTGGTACAAAATGAAAGATATTTCCGGTAGATGTGCAGAATCCATTTATAAATTAAAATAGACTCAAAAATAAGCACGAAAATCAATTTTAAAATTAAAAAAAATAATATGGGCCTTATGGGATGCTATTCTGGTGACAAAATAACAACAAAATATAAACAGAAAATCCAAACAAATTCCAATCACATGTTTTATATGCAGTGTGGTGTGAAAATATATATAGTATACTAGTATATAGCATAGTTTGCACAATACATACTTTTGGTCTAGTCTTCGACCACGGGGCGAGCTCACGTATTAAGCTAAAATATTTCACAGATCAGTTTCCCCTCCATAAATATAACATGGGATGCAACGTATTGCAGGTTTTTTAATATCTCACAAACCAAAAAACATTTCTGAAACAATAGAAATTCTTAACAAATTAATGGGAAATTTCGTTAAATTGTTTTTATAATGAAATGATAACAAATAATTGTGGAAATTGGTGAACAATTCCTAAGAAACCGTATTTTTAAAGGTTCAACATATCAACTAATTCCAGTTACATTGTTGGAATTTGGGTAAACGGGTCCATTACAAAAGGAATAAAGTAAACACACCCATAATATAAATTAACAATATACCAAATGTTTTGGTTTCACGGAAACACCCAAATTTTAATAGTACATTTTTCCGGCATCAACAATTCTTTGATGATTTAATTTGATTGCAGCATTTTCAATGTTTGTGAAATAATGGTTCTTTGGTCCCAACCATTATCAATGATATCAAAACTTACCAATGACAAAAAAGTCTACATTAATTTAGACAAAACGATCATCATAAGTAACGGAATCTATATTATATACAGCCCCTTGTGTAACTGACTCACTCATTGACTCATCAGGTATACAAATTCTTACCCACTTCTAGAATAGCTACGGGGTTGAAATTTGGCACGAATTTAGGTATCGGTCTTACACCACCAGTAAAATTGTCAAAAGTCACATTTTCAAATTTTAACCCCCCTAAAAAAATTCAAAATGGCGGATTTTTGAAAAGTGCGAAAAAGACGTTTTTTTAAAACGTTTATTGTGCTTAAACCGTTGGTTTAATCAAAAAACGGAGCACACTTACTGTATTTAAAATTAAACGAGCTACAATTTCATAATATAAAGTTTCTTTCTATCTCCACCCCTTCCCCCCTATATTTCGCTCTAAACACAACATTTTGGAATTTTTCATCATGTTTTTTTGTTCAAACGTCGGTTGCGGCTCAACCGTTGGTCTGGTCAAGAAACAGAGAGAACCATTACGTACTAACTTTTGACGATCTACAACTTTGTAATTTAACATTTTTTTCCATCTTAACTCCTTCACCCCCAAATTCATGCTTAAACTTGAAATTTTGCCATTTTTCCTTGTTTTTTGGGGGGTTGGCTGCCCTGGAGTAGGTTAAAATCCGTTTTTGGTACGTTTGACCTATTACTTGTTTTTAAATATGCCTAAAGTTTATCCTAAACCGATTTCGGAATTTTCACTCACCATACTTAACCCTCAAAATTGGGGGGATAATTTTTGTTAAAATAAAAAATACCGATTTTGAAGATTCTCGTCAATTAAAAATTATATAAACGCAAGATTATATATAAACAAACAAATGTTTTGTATACAAAATTTTATGGTGTACATTTTGTTCCAT